ATTTCTGATAGAATTATTTATTATTTGATAACTGTGAGAATTTTCTATTTTTTTTTTTTTTTTTTTTTATTTTCAAACACAGTTCTTAGCGGTTTGGCCCCTTCCTTTGCCAAACATCCCCAAAGTCCCTCCTCTCATTATTGTTAATAGTATGTATTCAGTATTCGTGTTATTTTAGATTCTTATTATTATTGTCTGGTATATTCTGGTTTATCATATCATTATTACCACGAACAATGTAATCTATTATTATTCTATAATACATGGTTTTTCCAAAGCTTGCCTATTGTTTCATTTTTATAAAAATCACGAGTCGTCAGACGTGTTTCACGATAAGAGTAAATGTTAAATTTGTGTCACAGCTGACACTCATGTATGCAAACTTCCATTGCTTAACGTTGAACTTACTTTTGTAAATATTGATCACGCCTGATTCTTTCGTATTTACGTATTTACGTGCAGCTGCTTAAAATCAACAGGGAAATAATCCAGGTATAAAAATGTTCCAAGTGTGTTAGTATTTTTTTCTTCTTTATATCCATTTATAAAATAACAAATTTATTTGTTACGACTGTTGCAAACACCGCGAACAATTTTTTCTTAATAATATAATTGTGTTTAATAATAATTCATTGTTACACGAATTTATTTTTACAAGATTTACAGATTGTTTGTTACAATATTTCATATAATAATTCACAATTCGTATACTTATCAAGGCATCCTGATTAAAAGATTGCATCCTCGAAACGATGTCAATTATGTTTGCTAAAATCATTGAGACAACGACAGGGGTCTTAATTACTGGATTTGAATTTCATTCAATAAGATGGAAAACGTCTTTCCAGGCAGTTGTATATGCAACATGTGTAGAACGACACAAGCAACGATGTCGAAAATATAGTAGCTACTTTCACCATCGTAAGAATACCATATGTGCATACATATACGTACAAAGTTGGAGCAGACAGAAAAGTAAAAGTGAAACACTTTCCCTTTCTCTTCGCAGGAGAAATGTGAGAGAAGCCAGATTTTAACATTTATTTTCAAACCAAACGCGCGGCTCTATCGATAATTCCATCCACTGGTAGTTTTGCTCTATCGGTAACTGTGTGATCGCCGAGTACCTTCCGATTGTGAATCTCTTTAAAAAAAACGATTAAAACACACGACTTAATTGCGTAAATTTAACAATATCATCTTTGAGATCTACAAAGTATAAATATAATTATAATATATATCTACAAAGTATAAATATAATTATAATATAAATTTCTATTGAAATCTGGTGTTTAATTTTTATCACGATCGTGCGAATGACATCAATTAAAAAGTCACTCGATCGCCAAAAGAGACATGAATATTGACAGAGGAAAATAAAAGCAACAAACAACGTGAGTAATGTACAAATTTTTTGATAAAAATTCACTCGAATTTCGTATCGTTCGTTTCGAGTTGAATTCATATTTTCTATTTCAATATTTCTTGTCTGGAGTGTTTCTTTAATATTGTGTGAAATATTATATTTCTTTAATATTATTTCTATAATTTCTTTAATATTATATGAAAATTCATGTTTCTTCACACACACACATTCCACTTACGTTGCCTCTCGCGTGCATGTAAAGAGAACGTTGCACAGCTAGGAGAAGGAAGGACAGAGCAAGAAGTAGGAGACTTTCTCCTAAGATGTACACTAGGAACTTGTTCTTTTCATTCCCTTGCAATGCAAGCAACCGGCACGATCAAGTAACGAAGACGTGACGATCTTGCACTTCGCTGGCAGGAAATTACGCTCGCGTGACGGTTCATCAAATTGGTTCATTTTTATTGCGTCGTGCGTGGGGCCGATAGTATTCGCCGGTAACGTGACAGTTGCAACTGAACGCCGAACAGTTTAGATATAGTGCAGTACACTCCGTGGCATATGTACATATGCGTGTAGTTTAAGTGAAAGAAAGAACCGAATCCGTTATTCTCCTGTACGAAAATGAGACAGAAGATGAAGCAGGGTACAGAAAACACAAGGAAAGAAACGGACTTTACAGGTCAGTGTCTTTTTCTTTCTTCTTTTTTTCTAGAAGTGCAGTGCACCGATGACACATTGTTTACGTTCAATTGGCTCAATTCGCGTACGTGTGCTAAACGTTTCTGCAGAATACAATTCACTTCTGAGGAGTGATCAAGTTATATTTCAACAAGATAACATTTGTGCGGTGTCAATTTCTTTCTCTGGCGAATAGTCGAGCGTTTCGTGTATATATTTCGAGTGTGCGTGTTGTAAATAGAACGCTATTGTCAGATAGAGAATTATTTTCGAATGTGCATCCGAAGCATTTATGCAGTGTGAGTAACAACGTGAAAGTCAAACCTGGCAGGGTGCTTCGATTTTAAAAATGGAAACTCACTGTCCCAAAGTTTTCGTCGTATTTGCAAATATATGTGTAGTAAGTCGTAGTTACATAATATTGGTTCGAGGCAAAAATTGTATTGTAAATCGAGCTCGTACGTGGAGAAATTTATGTTGCCTCGTGATGTGAAAATTGCGCGAGTTTATTGAAATTACATCGAGATTTCAGAAGTATTTTAAGAAGAAAGGGCAGGGCCACAGTTTATCGTGGTTTTATGTTGGTCTTCCCGATCGTCGTGAAAGACGCGCATACACACAGGAAGGCTTCGTAATGCTTGACCAATCCAATTTATGATTTCTGAGAATAGATGGCAGATGATATAATCATTTTTATCTGATTGCGACACAATCTTCACAATTCTCCTCAATTTAAAATTTCACACTAAATATTAACAGTACTGCATATTCAAATTAACTGTTACTATCGTCATTAGTATTTATTATATTGTCACATTGATTCATTGTTACGTTACATTTTGTGCAGAAGAAACATTTTAACATCTGAGAAATAATACGAGACGGTAAAAAAATAGACAATTACATCATAGATCATAATTAAATATGGAAGAGAAATACAATCAAGTCCCATAAAAATACGTTTCATGTTTGTATTGCGTGTACATACGTATATACGTTCGTTGAAACATGCAGCATTTGATGAAAGTACGAACAGAAACTGTACGACCTTGACTTACTTTTCTCGGTTCTATAGCTAGGAATGCAGTACATCTGCGAAATTCCTAATAGACGAAATCCTGATTCTCTCACGTTTTCAACGTTTTCGCTTATTTCGACAGGAATAAAAGTTATTAACTGTTGGAACATATCGAAATACCACTCGACGAAAACAATTTCTTTTTTCGCAACCGTGTCGGTGACATGACGTAACCTCGATGATCTGACTTTCTACCGCTCACGAGTAGGAAATTAAATTTAGAGAAATTTGACCAACGACAAAAGTAATTTAAGAAACGAAGTTGGCATTTAATAATAACAATTAATTGAGATTGATTAATTAAAAGAATATTTCATTGAAACATAAAATAACATATATATATATATCAATTTATCTCGCAGTATTATTTCGAAACAAATTGCACGCAATACGCTTTGAGCGCGTATCGCTCGACATTTTGAAGTCTAAGCAAGTTAACAATTGCAAATTGCCTTCGATGCCTTCCATGTTTCGCAACCTCTTATTATAGCTCCTTCGTGAAGGATCATCAGACGGAAGTAGTTTTCGCATCGAGCTAATTGTCTCTATTTCTGGATCGGTAGCCAAATCGACTGAAAAATCACAAATAAGAAGCTTCGGAGCTAATTTCAAAATTACTAGATAAAAGAATGTCTAATCCTTTGCTCTGTTCTTTCACTTTTTATGATTAATCCTATATTGAAACGATAAAATCTACAACAGGTGTAGATCAGTATTGTCCAATTATATAGTTCAAGAATTAATCAGGTTAATCAATTATTAAACTCTAACGCAGATGAAACAGATTATTCTAATTCGAAACGAGGATAAACGCTGTTGTAATTAATTTAAAGATATCCAATCATTATATTATATGATTAGCATTAAAAGTATGTATTTAATATATTAAATAATAAATTAATATATATTAATATGATAATATAATTAAATTAATATATATTAAACATTTTAATTACATAAATCTTTTAGAATATAACGATTACACAAAAAGATAATAAATTGTTGGTTTCAATCAGTTTCGAATGATGTGCAGATAATCTTAAATCATCAGAAAGTTTACTCAGACAGTTTGCCGAGATGACTTGATTGATCAAATGAAAACATTGAAATTCAGTCAAGCGTTCATTTTTTTAAAAAAACAAACGGCTCAAAAATATTAATTTAATCCAGTATGATTATGACGACGGTGGCTTAATAATGATAGTGATAATACTAGTCCTAATACGAGCACTATACTCGATTACGGTCTCTCATTATAAGCATCTGTCTCGTCGATCTTCTTCATTCTTGTCGCGTTCGCTGCACAGATGTATCCACTTTCGATGGCTCTGAATACCAAATGAACCACCTATCGAACCGTAAGATCACCAACACGATCTGCGTTCCGCGTACGTGAGGTTGTTTTACAAAATCGTCGGTCCGCTACAAGTTTTGTTAAACGATCGTCGAGACACGAGACAATTTCATTTTCAGGGAGATATATCAACACTAGAATTATCAAAGTGGTCGAAACGATCAGTTTATAATTTCCCTCGGACTTACAACAACACCCCTTTTCAGAGATTCGAACGATTTTTGTAAAATGTATGAATAAAAATTCATTAACATTTTTCTATTCCCTGCATTCCAATATTTTTGACTCAGTTTTTATAGTTCTAGTGTTAACCAGTTCGTGGAAATACGTATATTAATTCAAGTCGCTCGAAGCTTAAAAATTTTAAATAGTTGATTTTCAAGCACTGAAAGTTTACCAACAGTACTGTTATTAAAATCGAAAATGTCACTTAGATGTCGTGGAATCGAAGCTGCAGGCGCTTCTTAACGACGGAGCAAACAGTTTTATGGACTTGGAGTGGCTGCAGCCAGAGTTGCCGTCGTTCTTCGACGAAACAAAGTTTCTCCTCGGTCAGCAGATGTTTTACAACAACGCTTTCACCATGATGATTGCCAAACTGTGCGGGCTGTTATCTTTATTCGCTGTACCATCGATCAAGAACGTTTTAACATTCACCGGACAGAGTGGCGCACGATGCAACGCGTTTCGCAGATACGTATCCACAATTTTGCACAATTGGGTCTGGTACGGGAGGAAAGCTGGCATAGAAAAAGAGTAAGTAAGACGCAACGAATTTCATTTGAGAAGATACAAGTACAAACATATATAATGTAAATACATTTCATACCTTCTTTCTAGGACGTTTCCTTAGAACCATTGAATTACGACAAAGACAAATGGAAGACAGACTGCACGAGCCAAAAGTATCTTTTGTATAACTGTAGAAACAGAAAATTCGGAAATTTGTGAAATTTTCGAAATCTCTGAAAAATTTTCAAAAGGGGAGATAGTAGATCACCTTCCAACCAGTAGCTTGCTAATCCCTGCTAGTCTCGTGGAAACGCGGAACGTGTTGAGAATAACGTTTCCTTTAAATACATACAAGTCTCTATTTTTATCATTTGTCGCTGCTAATAACAACGGCACGTTGTTTATCGTTAGATTCACGCTTTGAAAGAGAGATGCAGAAACGGTTAGGCGTACGCAATGTGCGTCGAGAAATGTTGATATTCTGACGAATGCTGGCGGAAATGAGCTTCGCGCGAAAATACGTAGTTCGTTGGTATTCAGGGAATTCTCGGACACGTGCAGGCGTCGATATTTTGATCGATTTATGTCTCCGGATACGATTGTCTATGTAGATGAACAGATTGAATAATTTTATGTCTGGGAAAATCCAAGATGTTTGACACGAACGTCACATATCGAATGAAACGTCACCTCTACGAATGAAACGTCACCTCTACGAATGAAATTCAACCATCGATTCAGATTTCCCAATGAAATCTGTCGCAAGAATAATTGTCCCAATTTGTGTTTCTGTTTTGCAGATTTCTCGAATCGTTGAAAATCGTGCGAAAGAAGCACTGCGTAGCGTTTCGAAGAAGCTCGGAGGCGGGACTGAGCAGAGTCTCGCAACTGGATATGGCACTGGCTCAATTTGGATTCATGGGTTTCACCCTGCTGTCTGGTGACTATCTTGGGGTGAACAACAGTTCCGAGGAACTCGAAGGACTGATTCATTTCTGGCGAGTCATTGGCAGTATGCTCGGCATGGAAGACAAGTTTGTAATCCAAGCGCGAATCTTCTTTTCAAATTTGCCTCAAAATTTCGAGTCAAATTTAAATTAAATTTTAAACTAAAATTACTTCTTCATAAAGTGATGAAAAGAATTAAATATTTAATATCGACTGCTACCAATAATAGTTATTAGTAGACATTTCCATTTCGTGTTAATAAAAATTTGTTTGTAGTAGTTCTTTGAAAATGATAATTAAATACATTTTGTATAGGTACAACATTTGCACCGGAAACGTGGAAGAGTCACGTGCTCTTTGCAGACGACTTCTGGACGAGGTCTTCCTCCCCTCGTTTGTCAGTAATAGCAAGGATTTCGAAGAGATGAGTCGTGTTGTATTAGAATCTGTATGGCCCGTGAATCCTTATATAGATCCAAATGCTTTCATCAAGTTCACGCTCATTCTGGCATCCAAAGCCGCCACGAATAACAACCATTCGTTAAAGATAGGTAAATCTTTCACGGTAGACATAGATGTATTACATAAATCGAATTTAAACAATATGAAAAATATTTTCAGATTCATCAAACATGCCGTGGTACAGTAGATTCATCTTGAATGTTCAACTAATTACTCATAAATATCTACTAGCAACAACTTACTGGTGGTCCAGATTTTTCAGGGCGTACTTCAATAGTCAGATGCGATTGGCGATCTACTTGACAGAAAACTTACCGTTTCTGGCGTTTTGGAGTTATGGTGTAAAACGCTCATACGTCAACATATACAAATATCGCGTCGTTTGATCTTAGACTTTTGCTTCAACATTATTGAACAATAATGTTGAACAATAATGAAAGAAACAGGGTTATCAATGTGTGCGTAATTCGATGTAAAATGTTTGTATAAATGTACGACGCTTTGTATAAGTGTACAACGTTAAGGTCGATTTAAGTCGAAGCTCAGTTTAGAAAATAAGTAGTTTAAACTTAAAAAGTGAGTAGTTCTTAAGGCTCTGTCTATAATTTTGTATTTTGTCTATTTTAATATAGATACAGTGAGCAACAAGTTGAAGTTGAAACAACGTTATTACCTGTATTTATATTAATAAATTGATTAAGTGAAAGCGTGACGCGTGAAATTGGTTTCAGATTGAAAGACAATGACCCATCGAACGCGCATCATTCTCGCTTACGTGAGAAAACCTTCAAAAACTGTGTAATCTTTTTCACACAACGTTTTTATAATTTTAGTCGAGTCTGCCTTATCTCTCGCAACATGGCGTCTGGTGAGTGCTCCACCTTCGAACGAGACTACTTTCATTTCAGATCGTAAAAATCTGTCGCTCAGCCATATTTCATTCTGTGAAAAACACGTCACGTCGGAATCGCTTCTTCATCGTTTACCTTCCTCGCAAACGAACTTCTTCGCAAATATAAATATCCAATTAAAAGATCGTGATTAATCGAATCTCAGATCGGCATATCTCGCGCAACTTGCGTGAATAGAACTTACGTCCAGAACCAATTAACCTTGAATGCTATAACGCGACACTGTGACACTGCAATAAACACGACGATGGAACAGATGTATAACTCGTTGGATAAAACACGCTTGCGATCCTAACAGTAGTATGAGGCGTTTCGTTTCTATTTGTTAAAATTCTTAACCCACTTAAATTCTTTCACCCACTTAGGGAGTATTCTAACAGTTTAGAGTGAGAATTTACCAATTTTTTCCCGAAGAAAATCCAATAGACTCTTTTGTATCATTTTCTTGTATACTTGTTTGTTAATTATTCGAGAATATCGAGTTTAATTTTTTTTAAGTGAAAATAATCAAAATTACGTGAGTTATTATGCGTCAAATTCTCGCGTGCTTTTGCTCGAGTGAATTGCAATATCCATTCTTCCATAGAATTCCGTAGAAAGTTGGAACTCGTCGAGCGATTTGAGACCACAATCCGAATAATTGCGCCCCAACCTCTAGGAATTGTACGTTTTTTCTTCGGTAACTTCCGGTTGGAATCATCATCCTCGATGAACGTGCGTAATGACGTCGCGTGTCGTCCGCAATTTTACGTTCTGTCATCTGCAAAATTGTAAGATAAACAGTAGTTTGCATATGGTTTCTTAGCTACTTTGCGGATAATCTTTTTTTTTTTTTTTTTTCTTTGTTAGAATGACGGGATAATTGAGATGTTTGCCAATGGTGATTTTATTACGTAGGAAAACAGTACTCTATCGACAATTTCAATGTCTATTAGACTGATGCATACGAGATATGAAAATTAAAAAACAAAAAATGAAACAATATTTCATATGTACATTAGAAACAAACAACAAATGATCTTGACGCAAACTGGTGATTTTAGAAGACATTTATAGGTAAACTGACGGAGGCTCGCTGAACGAGAAGTGTAGGATAGAAGCGTTAAGATAGTTGAATGTCGAGCGACGAGGGCAGCCGGAAGAGCAACGTGGTGTTTAAGAAAAATGCACGAGTCCCATGCAACTGTGGATGGGAAGTGAGATTCGGTTACGGTGTTGCGGTTACCTTGGCCATCTTCGAGGCCAAGCGTTTCTTTGTGTTGATCCTGGAAATATTTGCCGAATGGCAGATCATTCGGTTCGCAGGTGGTCTGCGGCCAGTCGTATTTACCTTGGTAAACGTCAGCTTAGGCTTACCGACTGCTCTGTTCACTCTGCGTAGCATACGATCGTAAGTATCCAACGTTGGTTCAAATTCTTTCAAATCTCATCAAATTTACTGACATTGTCTCTTTCGTTTCTAGAGGGAAAGTACCGCGTTGCTGCGCGAAAACGAGACGAACGTTGAAGTGCTTGTTAATGGTGATGGCGATATGCGCCATAACGAACGTGGCCACCCTAGTCTCCATAGGATATCACATGAGCGTCAGGCAAGAAACGTTAATCGACGTTTTCAACAGTTCGATGCACCTGTACGTGAGTGCAGCCTCTTACAAGTACACGATCGACGAGATACAGTTCATCTTTCAATGCTGCGGCCATTCCTCCTACACAGACTGGTTCCTCTTTGACTGGCAGGTGAATCCACCATTCAAAACGGGTAACTCAAAGCACGGTATAACAAGTGTGGCATTGGCAACGACATAGATTGTTTCGCAACGTGACAGTATCAGAAAAATATTCCACAATCGTAGAGAATAGACTACGCTTCGCGTGAAGAGATGGCTGTTCAAACTCCGATATCCGACGAGGTATATAGAGATCGAAGTGTCCCGTTTAGTTGCTGCAATTTACATGCAATGACACCGTGCGAGCACACGGAGATCTTGGAAGCCCAGGTGAAAACCATAAATACGAACGGCTGTGTCGAAGTTGTCGCACCTGTTATCTTCAGAATCGTCATCGTCGCTTACGTCATGACAAGCACGTTGGTCGTCATCCAGGTCTTCTTAGCCTTCTTAATTACCAAGGTAATCTTAATTGCATGTTGCTAGAATATGAAGCTATATATGCAAATTATCGCTTGAATACAAATTTACAAATATTGACGGAAGGAAGTAAAACTGAAATGCATCTGTTTTACGATACGCATTTTACTCTGATTGATAGTCTATTTATTTTATACGACGAAATATTTAGTGACAAAATGCCAGTGAGATGCAATTTGGATTTCACTTATACTCGATTGAATCTCCGATCTTTCCTTTAGATCATACGAAAAGTTTTATGCGGAAAGTGTCGACCGTATTATTTTCCAAAGATTTTCGCTAACGAGTCAACCAGCGCTTCATTGAACACCACAAGGTAAATTAAAAAGAAATTAATTACGTCACTTTTTCAATCTTATAAGATATAATAGTACAATATAACATTTGTATTAATATTAAATTAACACGATACAAATTCATATCCAGAAACAAATGTGGCTCAGTCCACTTTTGTTCTTACTACTTCGTTTCATTTCTCCATTATTCAGTTCGGAAACAGATGGACAAGACTTCAGCTCGTCCTCCATAAATTGGGACTCGCGAGCAAAATCTACGAAGAAACGTGACAAACGTAAACGAAATAACAAACGTGTACTACCAAAAAATAAAAGCAACCAGAGAGACAATTCTAATTCTTCCTCGTCGCCGTTCGACTCTTCGCCTGGAACCAGAAACTCCAATCGTATTTGTAGAATCCTCGACGCTGCTAGAATCAAACCAAGCGCCCACGAGGAGCATACATTATCCAAGAAACGATTGCACGATGATGGAACGCGTTGAACAAACGGACATATCATTCGCGTGTTTATTCCATCCGCGTGCAAATCGTATCACGTCGTAGAAAATGTTTTACGAGCGTTTAAAAAAAGCAGGTTAAACACGAGACAAGTACGTGTTCTCTCTGCAATCGAGAAAATAAATACATAAAAATTCGTTCCCACGGGAGGCATTGCGAAGAATGAAGAATCTCGCCGACACGTGAAACATAATTTTCTAAGAAAATTCAAAAAAATTTGGTAAAGAGACAAAATAACATTTGCTTGGTATCGGGGAAGCTGATAAGGTATAATTAGCTATGTACTTGTGAAACTCATGTGAAAAATATGCAGAAAAGATTCGCTCAGCAAACGAGGTGAAATTTAAACGATGTTGAAAGAAGAAAAACGGTGATAAACACGAACTGGCGTTAGGATAGCTACACGTCTTCGATAACAATGAAATACAAATTATAACGATTAGAAGAAGTAAGCGACGATAGCGAAGGACAACCGTGTGGTGGGGATCGACGAATCTTGCATTTAATAATACAAGATCGTCCACTGGAGTGCAGTATCATTCGAAACATCGTGGAGGGCGCATCGGTATAAACTCAAGTTGCACACACGTATATATTCATATTACTTCGTATTTTAAACGAAACGACTAGCAACAGGTTTGTAAAATTCTGTCACGTAGATATTTTTCATTGCGTAGGATTTTATTTAACTTAATGTAGGATTAATTTGATAAAAACACGTAGAGCATGATGTTGTGTGAGTTAGGCTTGGAATTTAATAGTGGGTCATTACTGTGAAAAACGTATTGAAAAACGTGCGATTTGTGAAATTTTTGAAATCAGTTTGAAGTCAAGTACGTAATGACAGTTCTCGGAACACAAAGATAAATTCAATCAAAACTTTATCGTTTCTCAAATGTTTCGAATAATATTCCTTTATTTTAAATCTTAGCATTCGAAGCGTCATATATCCAGGGCGACGATGCTTCATAATATAAATGATAATATCGAAACGCATGTATTTTACGATATTAAGATGTAAATAAAATTAGAATTATTCGAATAAAAACCAAAAATCCCTCCGTATTGATTCGTTTCTGATTCGTGCGAGCGCGCGGATACTGGAGAGTTCCCCCCACTCTTGCGATCGGCGAACTTCGTAAGCGTTCGTGAGCATTCGTACACCCTTCGGTTCCCACCAGATCCGCTCGCTCAACTTCGTTCGCGCTCGGGTGGAGGGGCGCGCGCGCTCGTTCAGTTGACGAGCGTGCTCGGTTCAGTCGAGTAGTGTCTGCGCATTGGTGAAGTTCGTTACGAGTGTTACATTCTTTGTTTAGTAGTCGGTCATCTGCCACTCTGTCGATATCGTAGCATGTGCCCACCAGTTCACAGTCACGTATACGTTTACCTGCCACACCATCAGCCCCACAATAAACTTGTCTCTTACGGCTACCGTTAGGGTTGCCGTAACGCCGTGTCTGTTTGTTGTGTTACTCCTAGAAAGAAAGAAAGAAAGAAAAACCGGTAACGGAGCTTTCGCCCAAAGAATGTCCAAGCTGTAGTTCACAGCCTGAAGAGTTTTCATAGGTGTGCATAGTGATAGCATGATTTCTTTTTGGATATTTTAGTGAGTCTGCTCGGAACCGCGGTCCTATTCCGGTGGCTGAGTTTGCACGTGGTGAGTGGTCGGTGAATACACGCGCGCACTATATGCAACTCACGTATTTTCCGTCCAAGTATACCAGTGGTGCTACTTGATCGCGACGTAAACGACACGATCGCGCACGGGTGAAGATCAACGAGAAAGAAAGAAAGAGAAAAGGGCGACACGCACGCGAAGAAGGAAAAGAAGAAGAGGAAGCGAGAAGAAGCGAGTGAACGGAGCAGAAAGAAAGATCGGGGACAAGATACGAAATTGCGAGAGCAACCGAACACGACCGCACGAACCGAAGACGGAAACTGGCCGAGGGGCAAGATAGAAAGAGACAGCGAGAGAAATCTCATTTCGACGGAGAGCAACATCACAGGCCACAAGCCAAGATGAGCTGTTGCACGAGTGCCCCGATTGTAACTCAAACCTGCGAGACACTTCTGAGCAAGTGCGAGGTGCCGATCATCGACCTCGCTCATATGGGTAAGTCCGTCGCCTTCTCGTTTATTCGAAACTTTCCTCTTCTTGGCCTCGGTGTGTTGATTCTCGGATCTATTGCCGGATCATTTGAAATTTACACGCCTTTATTTGTTTGTATTGCTTGGCTTGAACGTTAGGTAAGGTTAGAAAAGCTACGGTTAGAAATTTAAAAGGAAAGGTTTGCCACTTTTCGTATTTATTATTATTACTTTGTTATATCTATATGTATGAAATTGTAAGAGACCTACAAGACTATGGTACAACCGAGCATCTTATAGAATCTGTAAAACTATTAAAAACAATACAAAGGGGAAAAAAGGTATAACGAGTCGCAAATTTTGGCAAACGTGTAGAATTAACTATAGGAAAATCGACGTAGCTCGAATTTAACCGCGATGTTAAGGCACGTGGCGATGCGCGACGAGATGCATACTTATATATATGATTTTGCCCCCCAACCGTTCTCAATAACTAACCATTCTACTCGATATGACTTCACACGAAAGTTCACGGTTACATTGGTTGCCGATTAATCGACCGTATATCCAAAGAGAAAAGCTCGACCATAAAGTAAAGAATATACGCGTAAATATTCTGTCCTTTTCTCTCTCTTAGCTAAACGAACAGATTTTTAACTGTCATTGACCCTATATGTATCTCCGAGTCAGATGCGTTTCTCTCTTGCCATTTCGATTATTAAAAATATATACCACATTTGAATCGTAGTTAATGTATGAGATTCTTCGTTTTAAATTTCTGTTCGAATGTTGACGGTTTTTACGTTTGTTGAAACGATATTGGAAGTTAATGGAAATATTACAAATTTCAAATATTGTGACTCTGTCGGTAAGTTGGCGTCCCACAAAGAATAATATTTTAAATGGTACACGTTGCACAAGTTCGTTTATATCCAAAAAATTATATTCAAAGTAGAAAAAAAAGACATAAAAATAGATACGGAATGTATATAGATGTTTGAAGACACATTATAATGTGTTTGATGATATATTGGAGACTTAGTTGTAACAAAAAATTTCAGAAACTTCAAATTACTTTTAAATACTAATAGATTTAAATGACATTTCCACAACATAAAATCAAGTTAAATTCACAATTTTATTTTTATTTTAAGCCCTTGTACGTAAAGAAAGAACAAGTGAAAGTTAGATTAAAACAATAGAGACGTCGAAATAGTGTATCCATAAATAGTAGCATGTTTCTATTGTAACGGTCGATTTTATACGTTACCGAATTGATATTCTATAAATATACGTGTACTTTTCTAATTTTGTAACGGCGGGGTCTAAAATCGTTGACCTTTCGCGTGTATTTTTAAACCGGACCGCTTTCTCACGTGGGAAACGTGATCGTCTCGCAGCGTTCTGTAGAAGGATTCGGTGTAAGGAATTTTAGAGATTCGGAGGGTGACTCTTTTACGGTTGCTTGGCAACGAGGCCAGGCAACTGGCCAGACAGACCAGCAAACCAACAAGCAACAGCTTCACTTCGTTCACAGTCGGAGGCGCCTACCTCGGGCCCGACGATCCGTTGAGGTCAGAGCCCGTCTCACAAAGGAGGGCCCCTCCCTTGGCGCCCTCTTCGATTCATACAGGGTGTCTTATATTCATCGCCTATTTATATATTTTATCGCTATAAATGTTGCTTTCGTTACTTTCAAATTTCATTGAAAATATATTGGTTTATCACTTTCAGGAATAATTTATGCATTTTTAATGAAAAGGATTCATTAACAAATTAAAAGATACATTTTTAAGCCTTGATGTGGAATAATTTCAATAACTAAATAATTTAAACATATTATGCCTTGTAATTTGCTATCTATATATAGCAAATTACAAGACATGATATGTATTTATTTTTATAAAAATATATGTTAAATTACTTATTCCCCAGATAAATTTTATCTCACACACGCTATCAAATTTGCACGTATTTACAAAAATATTTGTTATCACGTTATATTTACTTTTATCAATATAAAAATTGCGGCATGCTTTACGTTGCTCTTTGAACGAAATCTAAAGATATATAAACTTTTTGTCTTTATTTTCTTTTTGAGCTTTGTATTTTTCTTATTAAAGGGAATTAATTAGAATACAAAAATAATGAAACGCGTTTAGATAATATGATTACCAATAATGATTCATTATTAGATTAGAACAGAATCAATCAAACGTATCTTTCTTTTTTTTTTTCTTGTATGATTATCCGTTTAATTGATTGCGAGTGAAAGCAAACAAAAATAAGAGAACAATTAACAGATACTAATTGCAAGCGACACTCATGATTTGATTGATTGACAGTTATTGTTTCATTTAATATCACTTTCTACTTCGTGATACAACTTCGACTTATAGTTGAAGACTGTGAAACGACAGTTAAATAGCTCGGCTGCAGTTACGGGTGCTCAAACAACTCATTCAATCGCCAATATTGATAAACCACATTAAACCACATTGACGCTTGGGCAACCATTCTGTTAACAAATACAATATTGACGATATTTCTGGAGAAATAATTATGTATTCGTTATTGTTAGAGTGTCTAATGCATCTTAAACAGTAGCTGGCAGAGATGATAAATGCCGTTTGAGTCATCGCATTTTAAGTAGTAATTTTTGTGAAATTCACAACATGATATTTGTCGTTATCGTATCGAAACACAATTCATTGCCAGTATTTTAACCAAATACATGTAATATCAAAAATTATACAATACAAAATTTATTTTAATTGAACTGCGGGCTATATCCACCGAGCATCTAGGAGCACGTTAACCTCTTGCGCTAGTAACTGGTTCACGGACCATAACGAGTGACCAAATCGTATACAATAATTCGTCTTCTTTTTGAATTCATCGGTGTATCACTGGATAGAAATTACTAAGAAGTACTAAAGAAGTACTTTGTTTTACCCGGATTATATTTCAATATACTTAAAATTGAGAAAATATTGCAATTTTGGGCCAAATGTTTTCGACATGCGTGGCACGTCATTCCAGCGCAAGAGGTTAACAATAGATTCTCAAGGTTCGATAAATAATGAGATAGCTTATTAGAGTTTGATCGTTGATCGAAGCTCGAATAAAATATCATCTCACGTCTCTTCGTCACTGCAGACGTGTTGGATAGTGATTTAGTCCGCTATAGCAGACACGTTGTTAAGAATAATGGATTGGCGTGCGCGCTGTAAACGAGAAGATAGAGCCGCGTTTGAATTCGCGATTCGGGCCACGAAACGTTTTACCATTTCTCACACTTTATGCTTCCGTTTGATTCGATTGAACTGTTCCTCTTTGTCCGTTTGTGTATGTTTGCACATATATTCCATGTCTGGGCATCAGGCCAACGACTCGCGTACAACTAATATTGGCGCCCGTTCGAAAAAGACACGGTATCGTTTCAAAAGTGTTTCTCGATCGAGATCAACGATCAACGTTGAAGCGCTGGTTAGTCATTCGTTATGTAAATGGCGGCAAAGTGTAGCTAATTGAAATTTCCTACGGTGAACCTCCTTAGTCATCACTGATCTCATTGTTCGATGCGTATATAAAACCGTGTGTTTGTTAAACTAGTAATATTAATGAATTAAGTGGCTGTATACTGTTGCTATTTGTTGAGAAATGAATGCCGTGAAATGTACAGCCTACGTTCTCAGTCGCAATTGAGAATATTTTCTATCGTTGCTGCACGCACACGATCATCGTCCCTGTGCATAATTGGAAGCACGACACGCTTCTTTGTTCCACGCTCTTTGTTTCGTTGGTCGTTCCCAATTTTACTTTCATCGCTCGTAACTAACAGTCGCGTTATTGCTTGCATCAGTAACCGTCACACGGCTTATCGCGGTCAACTTCCGACCTTCTTCGAAACATTTCCTTCTGCGAGCCGCTCGGTAATTTCCTCGGCAGTATATGTATTTATCTGTAATTATATAATCAGCCTATCTGGATTGCGTCATGACATTTTTAAAAGACACTCTAATTCATCGTTCAGAGGTATCAAATTAAAAAATCGATGAGCTAGTACCATACCTCGTGAAAAATGATATGTCGACCATTAGAAATATTTCTCTTATTGGGGATGCTGCTTTATTGCCAAAATCCCTAACCTAAAAAACCGTATTTACGATAAGTACAATATATTGCAATTGATATTCTATTCGAATTAATACTAACTAAATTAAGCTAACTCGGCTCAAGGTTTCCGCAAGGAAAGACCTTACGAATAATTTCACGTAATGCATCGCGTTTACCCTTTAGAATGTAGAATTTCGACCTTCACGAGCCTCGCGTTTTCAATGATAAAACATTCATGAGTCCCCTTTTTGGTGTCTGTATTTACATGTATTAAGTCGAGGGTCACGTACACATACACTTTATCACTAAAATTGATAATATTCAGGTAGAATTTCGAACTCTAAAAACGTTTCGTGATATTTATTTTGTTACAATACTCTCTTTAACGAGAAACTAATTCGTAGAAATTGTTTTATCCGTTCGCTTTTCGCATTGTTTGGTTGCAGGGTTAGTTCCACAGTGCGCATGCGCGTGTGCACGCGCACTTGCACGGACGAACGGGCGCGATTTCTTAGCGCGTGCACACGCGGTTACACGTGCCTGTCCTCCTCCCGTGGCCACGATATGCAACGACGCGGATAACCGAACGCTTACGCGTAAATCCAAGAATAGACCTTCAAACAACGTGAATTTTTCATTTATTCGTTCTGCGCGAACGCATCGTGGAAGTTCAACCTAACCTAAACCTCTTGCGCTAGTAACTGGGACTTCGCGGACCATAACGAGTGACCAAACCGTATACAATGATCAGTTCTTCTTTTTTCGAATTCATCGGCGTATCACTGGATAGAAATTACTAAGAAGTAATAAATTTATTTATTTTGCTTGGGTTATATTTCAATATATACTTAAAACTGAGAAAATATTGCAATTTTGGGCCAGATATTCTCGACGTGCGTGGCACGTCATTCCAGTGCAAGAGGTTAATTGTCGAATGCGTTGCATCAACGGACTCTGAGAAGAAAAATGATCTCGGCGTAATTGCGCGATATTGCGCGATCTTTTGGATCGTAACGTTTCAATTTGATGATGAATGCAGCTATTCGATCGACAATGTTATTTATTTCGAATTATCTAACCGGCGGATTTCTCATAGGATTTCGTAATACGCGTGCAACGGATAATCGCTCGTACAATTAGGTGCAAACATTTCATCGTGTATATCATGAATAATTCATTGACACTGAGAAATAGCGATTTTTACGATCCGTTCTCTTTCATTGACAAGCGAAATATATCCTTATACAAGTAATTTCTTTCACGGTCCCCTTGCAATTCGTATGCACAGAAATGTTATCACAGAAATTTTACATTGAAACAAGCACCCAACAAGCTTTTAATTGTTCCGCGCCAATCATCACGAAAGAATTCGGTCGATAGTGTTCGCGGCCGTAACGGGAAAAACAGCGTGACGCGTGTTTCAAAACCTTTCCCAACGAAGCGCCGTCGCTGCCGTCGTGTTCGCTCGTTCATAGTTCAACAATGAATAGTATTATTAAATATTCCGACCGGTAACAGTTATAATAAAATCAACGAGAAAATATAATAGTTCAAATTGGCACATTAGTTGCAGTCGAAATAGAATTGCCAAAAATCTCTCTGGCTACGGATAATGGAAACACCGCCATAATTTCGTTAACAAAATATATAACAAAAGTATCGCGAAGCGTCTGATAATAATACATTATACGTACATATTTATATTAGAATGCTATGAAATGCTGAATCCACTGTGGGGTGGCGACAAAAATATTCCCTTTCTTTTCTTTTTTTTTTGTCTCTCCAACTATATTCTCTGATGGACGAGTTGAATATTCGCAAAGTCGAAGCGAGACTCACAGAGTCACGGAATGCGCGAACCGTGGCGGAGGAATCGCGCTCGGTATCCCGGGGAAAATATGTAGGCAGCAAGTTGCAAAATTCGTACTTGCGCAAACGCCGTTTACCATAGAAGTGTAATGGGATGACGTTGTCGACTAGGATTGCGCGAACTGTTATCTGGCTTCTCGATCGAGCCAAATTTCGCTCGTTACTCTCTGCTGTTCGTTTTCGTATCATCCGTTTGCTAAAAACATTTCTAAATCAGCTTGAAATACAGAAATACTTGGACCAAAAATCACTTCCTGCTGGAATAAATCCATAATTTTTTTTAATTTTCTCTCTTTTACAGATTAACTTAAATTTAATTTAAAATTAATAAAATGATTGAAAGTTTTTTGATGTTTTATTAAAAAAAAAAAAAAGATGGCGAAGAGACTTTTGGCCCACCCCGTAGAAAGTTAAAAATAAAATATCTTTCAATTAGTAATGAAAAATTCTTCTTTTACTTTTTTTTTCGATGACAATCCTCAATGTTGCCTTGTTTCAATAATACAGTTTAATTAATCGATCTCAGCAATCTCCTTTTTAGAATTCTCCAGGCGTTGTTCCAGCAGACTAACGATACAAACCATGTTGCTTATTGAAAAAATAGAAACCGCCTGTGAATAAGTTATTTTCTAGTGTTGTGTACTTTTCAATCGAGAAAATTGTTGCTTGAATATAAATTAGAGAATACAACTGAGGCTTCCGAGAATCGTCTGCGACAAACAATGGAGCCCGGAAATGGTGCGTGGAGGCGAATGGCCGATAGTATTATAAAATAGATGTTATTATAAAAAGCTTTCTAACTTAATCAGATTGAAGTTAAACACGCAACGTAAGAGTGCAACAAGTCGACGTAATAAATAAGATGGAAGAAAGATACGAGACCCCGAAAAAAATAAATGGATAAGGATAAAGTGCCAAATGAGAAACGAAGTGTTGAAAGCTTCGTATAAAAATAGCGAGAGATAAGGTTGCAAATAAAAGGCAAGGGAAGAAATAATGCGAGGAAAAAATTGGAGAAATTAGGGTATCATTGTGGGTCGAAAGTTCGAGAAAAATGATAATCGTCGATTGCGTTAGGTTCTCGTATATACTTTCAAGCAGCAAGCGGCACGTAAACAAGGTCGATGGTTACTTTAATCGTGTAGTCTTGAACCAGTGTGGAATAATAATGTAAAAAAATAAATATCTCTCAAGTGTACTTATTCTTTTCGATGTATCGTACCTTTGCTTCGAAAGCGCGGCAGTTCAAATCATTCAAATCCAAGCATGTTGATGGCCAATACGCTTTCTCAATTTCGTAGTAATAATTCTCTCAATAACAAGCAAAAAAACATATTTTTCCAGTTTTATCGCTTTCGTGAAAAAAAAAATACGAACAAATAAATTCGCAAATAAATTTTGTTTGCTTTCGATCTTGCCAAATAAATGAATCGTTGAGGTAAACAGGAATCGAGGGTATTTACCATTCCGCTAACAGAACATTCAAATAATTTATGGTCCGCGTAATTGCTACATGCGTCTGCCTTTACGAAACAACAATGCATACTAAGAGCAACTGTAACCGCAACAAGGAAACGAATTATGATCTCGCAAAGAGAGAAAAAGTACTGTATTATTAAAATACCACAGACGATGCTAAAAGAAACTTAACGTTCGTAACAAGGCGTATCGTAAAAACGATTGCACGCTATTTACGAATGTTTTAACAAAACGTCGGCGAAATGCGGGGATTTGAGTCTGTCAAAAGCGAAAATCTAGTTTTTGCTACGATATGAAAAAAAAAGATAGAAAGAGAGAGAGAGAGAGAGAGAGAGAGAGAGAGAGAGAGAGAGAAGAAAAGTAAGAAAAATTATTTAAATTTTAAAATTTTGACAAAACAGAATATCGTTTAATTTCTCACAAATTTAAATCGAACGTGCTCAAGCAAGCGCCTATTCATCATCCTATAATTAACTAGCAATCGGTAAGATGGCCGGCTACGATTCGTCCAAGAAAACGGATGTTCTAAAAAAGTATAGGTTAAATGGTTAGGTGGCTGGCGTCACAAATAACGCGACGATAGCGTTCCAAAGATGAAACAGAAATTTCGTCGATGCGATGACCGGTTTGATTTTATTGTGAAATACAGTTGGCAAGCGCATCGCAAAAACGTGTTATCCATGCTGTAGGCTGGCACCAAGTCCTGGACTTACACGCAATGCTGTTGAAAACATTAGCGAACGAACGATGTGTATGTTCGAATTCACTTTCCGCTTTAGCTGTGACAGATACTCGTGTTACTTGAAAGCTGAATTGCTGGAGTTTACCACAAGTTTAGTTAAAAAGTGACGCTATTTCTGTTCCACTTTTTTTGATCAAATGAACCGGCCGAAGAAACATATTATTTCTATTTATTTACACTGAAGTGAAATTCGTTGGCTGTACATAAGTTTTCATCGCGCAACGAATTCGTTTTCCTTGTTCTATTCAGTAGAATTCATAATTACGGAATCCTCGTTGATCGCAACGTGAGTTGTTCACGTGTCAAAAGCGGTTCCACATCCTACAGACATTCGCTCGTTTCAAACAGGAAATCTTCTGCAATTCTTTCTTCTTTTTTTTTTTCTCTCGATCGCTGTTTCATTTTCGGAACCTCTCAATCTGAGACCACTGTTTTTACGTAACGATCGTTTTACACGATGGGCCTGTAAAAGAAAATGGGAAAACTTGTTCGACAAAAGAAACAGAATTTCATATTCAGTGGAAACGCGACGAAAGGAGAACTGTCAGAGTTAACGTTACACTCGGAGCATAGTTCGGTTTCACACGCTAGTCGCTAGCCGTTACCGTACTGTCGCGATCGAATTTCATCGTTGTCATTTCTTCGAAATTGTCTTTTCCTCTCAACCGTTTGTTGTCAAGGAACGATCAGTCAATTCGACAGATTCAGTTTGGCAACGTGTACGTACATGTATTTCAAAAGTGTCACAACTGAAAACAATTTAGTTGTATTAGAAGAAAATTGTATTGAAAATCAGAGGAGTGATATTAAGAGTTATTTTAATTGCGTGACGTAATCATTTTGCGCTAATGTAATAACTTACCGTATACATTTCGTAAATTTTGTATATTCTATGTATAAATCTTTTTTATTATTATTATTAATTTTAACAGTAATATTTTGTACATTCTAGTGACAATCTTTATCCGCAAGCATTGCACGACTTGCTCGGTTGCTTCTGCGTAATTAATCACTCTTAATGCGCGTTATATTATATTTATTTTGCAAAATAAATTGCAAATTGAACAGTTAAGCCAACTGTTCTTGCAGAAACATATTTTCACAGGTGTCGTTGCTGCAATCCTACATAGATGCCAATGTATCAAGGACATTATCACACACACTACAGAAATTTATAATATTCAGTATTTAATTGTCCCTCTATTTAAATCAAGTTACCGATCGAGTATCGGTTGAAAATAGTTTTCAACGCACAACGATCGAGAGAAAATTTTCGCTAGTTTCTCCTGGCACCGGCAGTCTCGTCGGTACTTTCGCTCAGCGAAACGAATCGAATATACCGTTGCTAAGTGACCATTTAATATCCGGTTTGCCACTGCTCGAAAGGACAACGCTACAACCCCTCGACAAATGAAACAATCTTGGAAGCTATCTGATTGACGAGCCACTCCTGCTGTAATGTTTTCGCCTTAAACATCATCTCTGATACGCATGCTCGATATATCGCCGCCATATTTACGATATGTACAATATTCACTTCTATGAACGCACCGCGATAAAGTACAATAATTATACGTCGATCGTGATTCATCGAAACTGCTATGACTCTGTGTCGACTTTAAACGTTTAATATATTTATATTTGCTATAAATTGTATTACAATGTCAGTTGATCTTGTCTTTGTCTTTTTAACCTCTTGCTCTAGTAACTGGTTCACGGACCATAACGAGTGACCAAGTCGTATAGAAGAATTCGTCTTCCTTTTGATTTCATCGGTGTATCACTGGATAGAAATTATTAAGAAGTAAAAATTTATTGTTTGTTTTACCCGGATTATATTTGAATATACTTAAAACTGAGAAAATATTGCAATTTTGGGCCAAATATTTTCGACATGGCACGTCATTCCAGCGCAAGAGATTAACGACAAAATAAGTCAAATCAGAATCAAAATTGGGAGAAATTACTAACCTCGAACATTGTTAAATCTAACAGTCCACTTCAAAATGTCTGTTGCTTTTAAAATTTTCCTATCTTTTTTAGAATTCCATTTTTACTTCACATTTGGTTTACATAATATTAACAAACGGTCGTAAATAACGATAAGCAAGAAGTAACATTCGACTTTCGCAAGGGTAAGCGATAAACATTGCAGGTTATGTTCGGAAATAAATAACCTGTGTACGAGGAAACAAGGATACTGGATCCTCGTATCGAGTTGCAATACCAACCGAGTATAAATCGGTCAGCAAACTAGGGTTGCAGGATACTGCCTGTAATAACTCGTGACGATGGAATCGGCTGGAGTAGAGATCATCCTCCAGCCATAAATTAGCCTCGTCGATAAGCCAATGTCGCACAGTTGTGAAAAAAATGGTAATTTATACGCGAAGGTTCGCGAAACGATAATTTCAACGACGTTTTTACCCGGCTCTGATACCGATCGTGTTCGCGTTTCGTTCGTTCCCACGTGAACAACGAGTGCGCGTCACAATGACAAAGAATCCGGGACCGTCGTCACCGGTAAAAAAACTCGAGTAGAAGATATACGTATGAGCAATAGATTTCCAACGATTGATTCAGTGCAGAACGATCGAAAACTAAGAACGGCGATAATTTACGACAGGGCACGTGACAGAAGACCTTCGCCTTTGTCTCAGCATGCTAATCTTCGCTGAACCATTGCCATTCAAGAGTTTTCGAGTGAATTTCCTCGGCGTTGCTAATTGAGTTGCAGGCTTAGTCCGCTGCTTTCCGGATTAAAATCGGTATGTTTGTGTCGGGAGGTCTCTGTTGCCATTTTACGTTAATCAAACACGCTGATCAAACATGTGCAAACGAACAATTCGATTTAGAGAGGTTTATGCTCGTTACTGACAGTGGAAAATTTTCACCAAAATTCTCGAAGTAGACGATTTCGAAAATATCGCCTGTCTCGCAAAATTTTCTTTCAATTTGTCCAAGTTTTTTGAAAAGAAAAGTTAAACGTAAAAAATTAATTAGGAGAAATTGCAATAACAAAATAATGAAATTATATTAATTTCCTGCTTTCTAAATTTAGCACGTAATATTTAAGAATTATCTTTTCTTAAGATTAGATTTTAGATGTTCGTTTTAAAAAAAATTTTTAAATTTTAAAATAAATTTACTTAAATTTACTTAAATTTTTTAAGTTTTAAAGAACAATTTGAAAATGTTCGCCAGTTGAAAACTGAAAATTTTAGTCCATTGGCAATCTTTTAATCTCCGCTGTTGCGAATGACTGTCGATAATTCCCGACGTTGCATAAGAAATGACTCATGGACGAGAACATGAAAAAGAAGAAAAGAAAAAAAAAAATGATAAGTAAACGAGAAGGTAAAAATGATCGACCAGACATCGTCCTTTTACCCGGACGTACGTGGACATACCAGTTCACCGCCATGTTTGTTCATTTTTTATTCATTAGAGGCAATTAGCGGTTGTCTTTAACCAACGTAACCAACAGATCATACGACTCATTGTTTACCTTGGCTTTCCATTTGTGCTCGATAGCGAAATTCTTCCTGTACAAGATCCTTCTAGGAGAAACCCGAAGCGACAGTTCCCGAGCACGTTTCCCCATCTTGTAAAATGATGAAACAGCGAGTAGGGAAACCTACTGGAACTACCAGAGCAATTAAGTGATCAGTTCGTAATTGTTACCTGAAATAATTTGTTCCGATAATAATGAGTGGAATGAGGAATTAGAGGAACATATAAATAAAAATAAAGCAGGATAATTTTATTGGTAATTTATTGTTTTATCATCCACCATTTGTTGTCTATTTCGCAGATAAATCTCAATCTTGCAAATCTCCACGAAACGAATGAACTACGTATTGACACGAAGTCTGTCAATTTTACTTGCAAAACAATTGTGTTTCTTAAATCGTAGACATCGCAAGTTTTATCCTTTTTACATTTTGCAGAAAAATGCAAACGTTGTACAATTGCAATATTATTATATATATTTATATATTTATTATTATATTATTATATATATTTATATATTTATTATTATTTATTTTTATTAATATTTTTATTAATTTATATTAATATTTATTATCTATATATTTTTTTCCAATATCTGCCTCATTCACGTCGCTTGTCTTTAATCGTATAAAATGACGATACAGTCTTACAATTAATTCTTTAGCGGTGAAACAAAACTGATTCTCGGCACAAAAAGATTGTTTGCGCAGTCACAGAAATTAAATCGATTTTCTCCAGCGATAACGATAAGAAGCCGACGAAGGAAACGAAATATTGAAAAGATTTCAAGAATCTGAAGCTTAATGACTTATCAAGAAGAGACTGCAGAACGAAAGCCCGAGCTCAAAACAGATGGTCTGTTGAAATTGATTCGTTGGCTATCTGAATGTGATCCTCGATCGGTTATCTTCTGTTTGTACATTCTGTATCACGGCGGATTAACGGCGTTCGAAATGTTGCAAACAAAATTATTATTTCGTCCGACACGATCGATTTGCGTTTCTACGCCTGTGAGAAATTCCAATTCATCTCGTTCGTTTTCTCTTCCCCGCTGGTAAATATTTAACGGCCAGATAATGATCTATGCTTGCTGGTCGTTCATCGAAGCGAATTTTCACGATAATTCCGTTTCTTTGAAATATTCCAACGATTTTATGCATCTTTCCGCGTAACGATAGTTCGTGGAAGCGAAATCGATAAAAACCGACACACCTCGTGGATTTTACGAGAAAAGGCTGTTCCTGGTTTTCGCACTGGATCTCGTTGACGATTACGCGAGGATAAAGAGGAAATTTCGAAGGTCTATAGTGTAAAAATTGTTTAACGAATAGTTGGTCAATCCATTAGTATTTCATCTGTATGTTTGACGAACTGTTTCGCGGGAAGCAAACAAGGCACAAATTAAGTGGTCGTTGTCCTCGAGCTCTCCGGGCTCTCCCTCGACCGATTGCCTCGTTCTTTCGAGATTTCGAAATTTCGAGAACGAACGAATTTGAATTTCACACAGTGAAACGACGAAAGCCGATGAAATTTTGAAGGCTAACGTATTGTTTGGAACAAGTGGCTCGTAAAGCGTATTTTTTTTATAGAGGATCATTCAAAAATTGCGCAGTTCTCTTCTCGACGAGGAGATTCAACTGGACATATGTCGCGGAGATAACGGCGAAAATTATTCGCGTTTCGATAAAAAAAATTGACTCCACGGTAGTGGAATGAATGAAGCACGATACGTGAATTATTTTTTGCAAGAAATATCGAAAACGGTAAGTACGCGTTATGCAACGAACTCTCGAGAACATTTCGCAATGCTTCACGATATCATTTATATAAAAGCGCGTTCTAATGAAAGAGTAAAAGGTGCTCGATGAAAGGTGCAAAAGAATTGATCGAGCATCGACACAATACACGATTTTTCTGACAGAATCTTATCCGATACTCTTGGCCATTGGAAAATTAAAGTTACTATAAAACCGATAACGCAGAGACAATAAAGTCGGAGAAAATTTTCGTCCTCGGAGATAATTGTTTGCCTCGAGCGCTGAATAAATTACAGCGATGAAAGTTTCATTACAAGGCCAATCTTTTTCCTTTCCTTGTTGTTTTTTACATCGGTACTTGGAAACATTTTGGAACATTTCTATGTATGTTTCACATATATGAAAATTAGAGAAATGATATATATATATAACATATATAATAAAGACGAAGCTATAGAAAATATTATTATTATATATAACATATATAATAAAGACGAAGATATACAAAATATTATTATTAATAATAATATATGATATAAAATATTATTATGATATATAATAAGAGACAGCATTAAAAATAGTATTTACTATTTTTTATCAATGAAATACTAATATTAGTATTTACTTTAATGAGTATTACACATTAAAGTATTTATGTAATGCTATATATAAATACTAATATTAGTATTTACTTTAATTAGTATTACATATATAAGTATTTATATAATGCTATATACGACGCATATGCGTAACATATTGCAATAACGTGTAACATATATTAATAATAACATCAATATCGATTAATTGTATGCATAATATTTACAATAGCGATCGACGTGATATTTAATAGTTCTACGATCCAACTTTGTCCAACGATTCAAAGATTCATTAAGTAATAGAAGAATACGAAACGTCTCAAAACGAGCTGACACAATTCCAGATTTTCGACAACGTGCAGAGAGCCACGTGTTGTATACATCTCGCTGTATGGGGATGAACGTGTTTAAAAGGCGGTGGATTTTTACGCGGATCTCCCGTGTCGCGGAGTGAAATCACGTTCTCACGAGGCGAAGAAGCACCGTGAAAGCAATCGTCGCCGCGTGGCGTTGAAACAAGATCTGCCTGACGAGCAGCCAGCGCATCGTGCGTGAATCGCGATAACGTTTCTTATCGGCATCTGGCAAAAAAAGGAAAAAAGAAAAGCACGGACGAAGAAGCCTCTCTTCCTTGCTTCGAATCTCACAATTTTGCATTTTCTTCTTTCTTTTCTTTTTTTTTTTTTTTTCTCTCCCTCTCGACTTTAATTAACGAGAGCCAGAAAGCAAGCGAGTTTTATTAAATTTGTTTTCACCTTTCAGTCGCACGAACTACCTCAAGCACTTTCCGTCAAATATCTCGGATTACATCTAGACAACAAACTGAAAAACTGGAAGAAGCACATCCGAGAAAAGATCAAACAAGTGAAAACAATTAGAAAATCCATGTACTGGCTAACATCAAGAAACCCTAAGCTAAGCATAAAAAATAAGCTACTAATCATAGAAAATTATAACTGTACCTATTTGAACATACGGGCTACAAATTTCTGGGGCATGGCAGCCAAGTCGAACATAAAAAAGATAGAAAACTTACAATCCATCATCCTACGTACAATACTAGACGCACAATGGTATGTCAGAAACGATGACACAAGAAAAACCCTAGGAATACCAACCATCAAAGAGGAAAATAGTAAAGCGTGCAAGGACACATCAACACAAAATCACGTAGGAACCCTCTGGCAAAAGACTGTTACTGCCTACTGCCCAGAAGACTGAAAAGGAAACACCCACTAAACCTTACTACTAATGGAATACAGCCAAACATGTACAAAAACTAATCCCATAAAAAAACTAGTGATTGCCGGTAACTGTATCGAAATCCACACGATCTCAAACAATAATAATATAAAAAAACGAAAACAATTGTAACTGAACAATTAGACTCATACACGTGGAACAAATAAAAAGAAATTGAAGAGTAGGTATTGTTGCGTGCGGATCTGACCTCGACGTATACAGAGCATGGCTTGCTGCTCTTTCAACGTTAATGAAAGTCAGCTGATTCAAGGGAGAGTTGTTTGATCGGTATGATTGAGGAATGTAGATTGTCGTAAGAGAGAGCCTGAAAAATTCGTAAAAATGATAAGATTTGAGTGAGTTTGATAGTGGAACCGTGAACTTATCGTACGTCGATGGGTTCTCTCCGGAACTTCTGTGGACTGCGCCAAAAAACATTAACTGTCTATATATATATATATATTTTTTTTTTTTATTTAATTAGTCAGAATGTCTTGTCTGCAGTACCTTGGGCTTGGAGTGCTCTTTAACCTGCATGAAGATTGATATTATTAGTTTCTGGATATTTGTATGGTTTGTTTGCATGATGAGGTGAGGTTAGGCTTGCAGGAAAAGTTTCAAATAACCTGCAGGTTCCTTGGTACGGTTTGAATCTGAAGGTTTTTGGTTCGAGTTGTTCATTAGGTTAATGCGTGTTTAGGTAATTTGACCTTGACTTTGAGTGGTATGTTTCCGACGATAGTTGCCTGTTTCCCTGATGAGGGGGTTTTGATGGTTGTTGTTGTAGGCTCCGGGTAGTGAGTTTTGAATATACTGCTTGATCATGGGGATGTTGGCTAATTGATGGAGCTGTGCTACGGTTGTGTCCTTCTATTTATTGAGAATAATTCTAAGGAATTTGTTTGAATTGTTTATGATTTGTATTTTGTTGATGTGTGATTTAGCAGCAGAGGCCCAGACTTGATATCCATGAGTAATTATTGGTCTTATGCATGTTAGGTACAGTAAGATTTTGATGTTTTTCTTGAGTTTGCTATTTCGGGTTATGAGAGGGTATATCCTGGATAGTGCTGAATAGGCGAGAGTAGTTCTTTTTTCTATGTCTTTAACCCATCTAAGTAACTGTCTATTTTCTTTGTGCGTTGGTCTTTTATAGCTGTGGATTCTATGGTTACGGGATTAGGGAGGTATGCTAATTGCTTCCAGATGTGAGCGAGGTCTAGGAAGTAGTATTTGCACCTTCTAATGGTCCCAGGATGTGTCTCTCGCAATATCATAATCTTGCATTTTTGGATGTCCTAGAAAAGACATCCAAAAATGCAAGCCTTAGAATTGAGAGTCGGGTATGACTACAACAATGAAATAAAAGTAAGGAAAAAACATGAAGTACGGTGAAGGGAGATCATCCCTGCCGTCGAGAAAATTAGAAATTAGAAAATTGCTTTCCCTGGCTCGATGAGTTTGTCATTCGCGGTACGAATTTCATCACCATTGTTGTTCGGTATTTCTCCAAAGTGGAAACTGAGAAATAGAATCGTCATAAAATTTCAAAAATTTTCCAATTTTTTCAACGACGAGTTGGAAACTCAAGTTGTTCTCGGTTAACGCTAGATAGTTTTGAGAGTGGAGCAGTGATTCCCTTTTTTCGAAACCGTGTCTCACCTAAGCGTCTCTAAAATCCTGATGTCCCCGTCCTTGTGACGCATAATTCTTATTACTAAAAGTGGCCATTAACATTCGTGAAAGAAAAGAATTAAAAAGTTAAATTTTCATTTTAAAAAAAGACAAAAATTTCTCTTGATAACTCATTTTCGAATTGGTCCTCTGTGGCCGAGTTTGAGAAATACGTACAATTATATGTTTTTTTAGAGCTTAAAATTTACTTATTAACTAGATAATACACTATATAACGAAAAAATGATTTTATTCGCATTAAAAATGTTCAAATTTAACGAAGAAGTTAAAGCACAAAGCGGAGGTTTACTGTGTACCAAATTAGATAGGTACACGCTCCGCTCAAAGTGTCAAGAAATTAATGAAAGAAAAAAAGAAATAAACTACGTGAATAGTGCAAAAAAAAATTGAAGAGAAAATCGCAGTATGATAATTTTGAAATTTTCAGTGGAAACTTAAAAAAAAGATTTTGCGAATCAATTAACGAAAATTCCAAGCGTAACTTTGAAAAGGTTACATAAATGAAACTGAAGAAAGCCGTAAAAGTTTGCACGAGTTTTGATGAAACTTCAAAGACCGAGACCTAAAAGACTGTCCCCTGTTCAGTGATTTTTTTCACGAGTTTCACAAATCAGAAATAACAATTCGCCGAAGGAACGAGATCGCGAAACGAGTGTGGCCTCGTATCGCAAAAAAAAAAAAAAAAAAAAAAAAAAAAAAGAAAAAAAAAAAAAAGGAAGAGAAAGAAATGCGCAACTACTTGACGTCAAAACGTTCGTTCATCGTCAGCGTTGTTCAACGAAGAAGAAAAGCATTGTCGTCTCTTTGCATTCCACGCGCCGATAACCGCGTGTCTATCAATGAGCGTCAATCCGTGAATGAAAAGAAGCGATCGATACACACGATCAACGGGACAAAAGGGGGCATCACTTCGCAGGATTAAGAAGATGAGATTATAGTGACACACGAGCTATTGCGGATAGACGAAGAAAGAAATTGAAAGATTTCTTCGGGAAGAAATAAGTGAGCCTGTGTATTTGAATTATGCGAGAGATTTTTTTTTTTTCTTTTTGTAAACGAGAAAAACGAAAATGAAATAAAAGCAGATCGAACGATTCTTGTTGAGAATTAATTTGATTTTGATTTTTGTTCATTTGATGATAAATTCTATTAGTAATGATTGATCTAATAATTTAATTTCCTTTCGAATGACTCGAACGATTCGACGTGTTTTGAGAATTTGATTTTCGAATAATTCTGGCCAGGAAGAGTACGAGCTAACTGAAAAAAAAAGATGAATTCTTAAATAAACTCGAGCGAAACGAAAGTTCAATTTTTTTTTCATATTTCTACACGAATTGAAAATTTTATTTCAATTGCAACGTCAGTCGAATCAACAATTGAAAATTTGAGTGTTTAAAGTAGCGACTCTGCCATCGAACATTTGAATAAGCTCGACGTGTATATATATATTTATTTATTTATTATTAAGTAAATTAATATATATGTACATATATATATGAAAATTCCTAGTACTTGCAGTCTCCTTTCCTGTTCCCATATCCCTCCTCTCTCCTTTTCTCTTTGCTTTCCTCACTCTTTTCGTTTTCTTCTTCCAGGGACTGAGAGATGTCCTCAGAAGGGTGTTGTGAAGCAAGTGGCTTCGAAGCTGTTAAGGGCACTGTCCGAGAAAGGACTGGCCTTGCTCGTCAACCATGGCATTCCGGAATGCAAGGTACGCATTTCCATCGATATACTCGTTCTGCATAATCGTTGGATCAAACAGCGTGTGAGAAAACGAGCGCATGAAAAGAAAATTCAGTGCTTGTCGAAGGCTTGATACAATTCATAACGTTTGATAACATACATATATAATATAAATAATATGTATATAGACATAAAATATAATATTATAAATTACTGATAAATCGGGTTAGTTCTACGCTGAATCATTGATTTAATTATCTTTAAATTTCCATTCGAACTAACCACTTGCGCTGGCAAACTGATTGCGGACCGTAACGAGTGACCGAACCGTATACAATAATCCGTCGCTTTCTTTTTGAACTTGTCGGTACGATATCACTGGATAGAAATTATCGAGAAGTAGTAAATTTATTGTTTGTTTTGCCTATATCGTTTCACTTCAATATACTTGAAACTGAGAAAATATTATAATTTTGGAACGAAAAACTCTCGACGTGGCACGTCATTCCAGTGCAAGAGGTTAAATTTCGTTCGAAATCAGTCAGACAAGTCTTGATTCAACAGCCTTTAACAGCTGATACTCAAGTTTCGTTATAATTGAACTTTGAATGAATCTTGTCTCGAATCTTGAGCTAGCGTTCGAGTAATCGAGTTACTTGTTATCAGCAAGGTGCTACACACATAATCAAGTTCCAACAGCGATTCGGATTTCAAGCATAGATTTCAGATTCACTTTAGGAAAAGGAGTGCCCTACTCGAATTTCGACCTAAACTAACCCCAATGTTCCGATGTTGACCACTTGAACTCGAGTTTTTTTTGTTCAACCTTCGTTGCACGTTCACTATGTATTCATTTCAAGATGTTTTAATTAAGTAAATTAACGTGCAACGATATAATTCGATGTTTTTTTTTTTTTTTTAATTCAATGTTTCTTCATTTATCATTGAAACTCAATGTTTCTGTTCGTTTGTTGATCTCGAAGTTTACATAAAGTTTTGCAATTTAAATTTGTATTGTCACCTCCGTACGTGGCACACGAGTTCAAAGAGTTGATGTCTGTAAAACAAACTTTGTCCCAGTCTCACGCAATTACTCCAATTGTCGATTCGACTTCAATTTCACCTACTCTGTTTGACGTCACGAGTTTCCATTATGGGGATCAAAAATTCTCGAATTCTCTAAATTAATTAATTGATTTAATTAATCGGTGAATTGTCAAACGAACGAAAGGAAAATGCAAACGTACAAACTCGTTGAACAGGGAGAAGCGGTTTTTGACGGCCATTCGTTCGATCGTATTATAGGCACGATGAGGCCTTACCTTGTAACGATACTCGCGTCCTCGGTTGACTTACAAAATTACTGTCTTGCGTGGAACCAGAATTAAAGGAGTCAAGGCAAAATGGAACGAGAACCACGTGTCGAAGGAGAGAAACGTATGAGATACCCAGGGTTGCTGCTCTTGGGGAGGGGGAGAAAGAAATTTAATCCCTTAACGCTAGAATTACCTAGACGACTAAAGTACATATAATATATGTGTCAAAGAAATTCAAGTGCTAGAAAGAGTTAATAATAGAATATGGAACGTAAGCTTCTGTCAATATGTTTTATTAAAAAGCACTCGAGTATCTAAAAATATATATGAAACACATAGAATTTTCATGGAAAAATATAAATTGGTCATTTTGGTAGTTCTAGTGTTAACCACTTGCGCTGACAGCTGATTGCGGACCGTAACGAGTGACCAAATTGTATACAATAATTCGTCGCTTTCTTTTCCAACTTGTCGGTATGATAGAAATTATACTGGATAGAAATTATTGAGAAGTAATAAATTTATTATTTGTTTTGTCTGGGTTATACTTAAATATACTTAAAACTGACAAAATATTGCAATTTCGGGACAAAAAAATTCTCGACGTGCGTGGCACGTCATTCCAGCGCAAGAGGTTATAAGAACTGACTGAAATTCGGGAAACAGTACCGAAGAGATTTTTTTTTATTTTTATTATTTATTTATTGTACGTATTTATTTTCGTGCATGTTGCGAACAGTTATAAATACATACATGTGTAAAATTCAGTTTATATAATGTTACGTTTACACGACAAATTTAATATTACAGAGATCTCTTACCTAACCTAATATTACAGGATTCACTTGACCCCTTAGGATCTCCCGATGCACAAATTTGTTTCGTTGGTTTGTCACTAGGCTAATTAAAATTTTTTTTTTTTTTATATATATGATAGTAACGAATAATAAGACTAGACGGTAATGATTAGCGATTAAAATAATCAAATTGTGTAACATTTGCTAATTGTCAATGCTGCACACTGTACTGTATGTGCACGAAATCATCAATACTTTTCTGGCGGAATGTTTGAAATGACAATCGCGTGTAAGAAATATTATTTATTAGAATTATCGTTATACAAGTTTTATAAATAACTAACTTTATAAATAACTTTGCTATTTTGTACTATCGTGCTATTTTAATTAATTATTTATAACTTTACTATTTCAATTTAGCTATTGCAATTTTATCAGTGCACAATTAAACCTGTCGATACAACTGATTTCAAGCTTTCAACTGCTTAAAAGATACGTGTGCTCTCACCATTTTAATTAATATTGATGTTCTGTTGGGACAGAAACACGATTGTACAGATCTATTTATTTTAATTGTCACTTAAATTATAACGATTCGCATGTAGAATATTTTCCACTGTTAATAGATATGTTCATCTATTTATTTACGTTGATATTTTTGAACAATCGAAATCAAGTATTACACGCATGTATAATCAAGTACATATTATACATCCGCCTCCCTACGTTGAAGATATCAAATTTTCGTTGAACGCTCGCGAAATTCAAACGTGAATGAAAGTTTTTCTTAATGTTCTCGACGTGATGACGAACATTCAAGGGTTCGGAGATAAAACTAATAAGTGGGTTTCACGCGATGACCTTGTCGAAGTTGGCGGAGAACCTCTTATCAAAGAAGAAGCCACGTTATCGCGGCCGATTCGTTACAATTTCACGAGATAATTCATGCGAGGGCTGTGACGCGCGTGATCTACTACAAATACGCAAACGTTGCTTATCGTTTATCTTCCACGCTACGTCTGCACGCATAATGCAAAAATTCATTCGGCGTATGCCCGAATTGTTCTCCCGATGACTGATAATTGAACGGAAACGTACTTGCCAATAACGGATTAGGAACTGTCGCGAGAGAAAGCGATGTGTTCAAGGCTGTACAAGCAAAAATTTGACGTTAGAGGCTCGAAGCTTCGAATTTGAAAATATTTCGAATTATTTCGCAGACTGAAAGGAAACTTTTGTTTCTCTCCCGTGAAGAGTTGAAACGTTAAATTTTATGATTGATAATATTCAAAATAGACTCGAGGAAAGAATGTTCGACGCCTGCATCACACCATGTCGTGATACTTTCCCATAATTCGATCGATAAATTCTTTTCGCATGCTTGACAGATCCCATCCAAGTTGTTCAGCGTTGTACGAGTTAAAGGAGACGTTCAGGAGATTAATTTCGTTCAAACAAACCTAGCAAAACTGATATATATATATTAAATTTTTCAATACAGAACAACTAAAATATTGAAAATTTTGATATTTAATATAAAATTCAACCACGTAAACGCACAGCTCGATCGGTTCGTATAAACCATCGTTTGTAATTACCTCGGCCGGGATAGAATTAAAAATCAGCGGCAAAAGAGTGATGAGGAACGAAGATGTTAGAGCGAAAGAGTACATGCGCGAGGACAATCCAAATTACACGTTACAACAGTTCGCGTGGTTGTTCGTTGTTGATTCGATTACATAGTTGCAACCCGTTTGCTATGCAGAACAGATTATTTACTTGCCAGTGTGGCTGGTCTGTTCCATTCTATAGTCTCGTGGTAAGCAACTAGTATTCGATCGATGGAAGAATTCTGTGGCAATCAACGTTACTGATTGGATGAAGTGATCTTGAGTTGCGAGAAAGAAACGTGGAAAAATAGTACACAGACGCTCTGCAATTTATCTCGAAATGTTTTTTCACAAATTTGATTTTCTTTCTTGTTAATTTAATAATATATATATATATACATATTATTTACTTATTTGTATAATATACACATTTATGTGTATACATATTATTTACTTATTTGTATAATATACACATTTATATGTATACATATTATTTACTTATTTGTATTATATACACATGTATACATATTTACTTATTTGTATTATATACACATTTATATGTATACATATTATTTACTTATTTGTATTATATACACATGTATACATATTTACTTATTTGTATTATATACACATTTATATGTATACATATTATTTACTTATTTGTATTATATACACATGTATACATATTTACTTATTTGTATTATATATACATATATATGTATACATATTATTTACTTATTTGTATAATATATAATATATATAATATAAATATATATATCATATATATTATACTTGTTAATTTAAAGAATTAAGCGTTTAAGAAGTTATAAAATTATATCTATATATTTTAATTTGATTAATAGCTGTGTCTTGGCGGATGATTAAGTAAAATTTACGAGAAAAAAAAAATGCGGAAAAATGGCACACAGCCGCTCTAATTTATCCCGAGATAATTTTTGACAAATGTGATTTTCTTTCTTACTTGTCAATTGTTAATTTGAAGAATTAGGCGTATTTTAAGGAGTTGCAAAATTATTCTAATTTGGTCGTTGATAGTTGTGTCTTAGAGGATTAAGTAAAATTCACGAGTTATTGCTCGCTTGCAGAAGGCAATAAGTGATAAAAATTATTCTTAGAAAAAAAAAAAGGAATGTAAAGGGCGATTAATTACTCAAAATTTGACTTTTTTTTTTAACGTAAAACTATCGATACAGAAATGGAATTCGAAGCATTTCGTCGCTATTACAGTTCAAACGAACTGATCGCGAGCGATAGAGATTTCAGAAAGTGATTCGTTTTACGAAACGTGAGTCGAACGTGTCGTACAAGCTTATTTTGAAAGTCGAGAACATTATACTACGTTCAGATGTGAATTCGAAGCACTCTCGGCGATCGAAGTCGTCACGTCTTTCGGACGTTTTTATATTAGAAGATTCATGATCGTTGTGTATTATTTCTATGAAATTTATCGAATCTTCGAATAGTGTTGGACTCGAGAAACGATAAAAAAAATACGTAAAAAGCAGCAGGTGACTTTGTTCTATAGAATAGAAAAGCGAATTTCTGTTCTATATCTTGCAATATTCTCATATGTCTCGTGTACGTTTCTTTGTCATTTATACGTTATCAACTTCTAATATTACTTACATTGTTATGTAACAATATTGCTTACGTTTTTTACAATCATGTGAGATAGATCTCTGTACAATTTCACAATTCGGTTAGCCGGTGAATAACGAAAGTGACACGCAAAGCATGACGACAAAAACGTCACTGGTCTTATCGATACATCAAAGATGTACCTGAAATGGTCGCTGATATCGAAAGCAAACAATTATGTTAATGTTACGTAATGCTTCGTTCAATGAAGTGTTGCAACTCTTGCGAGTGTTCTTAGATTTGATCTGTTTTTTTTTTTTTTTTAAGCATCAGCTACGACACGCATTCATTTCTCTGATCCATGTTCATCTTCAAAGATGTATAAAATAAATCTTCAATCGTAAATTTGTTTAAATGTTTCTAATATTCCACCAGCGCGATAACACGTGCATCGTTTGCAGATGAAGGCGGCCTACAGAACTTTCGATGCGTTTTGCGAACTCCCAGAGGAAACTCGAGCCAAATACGAACGCAACGAGGGCAATTACGGATACGTGAAACCAGGACCATCAAAGTATGATTTCTATGCCTTGTAGTTGTGTTGTTGGAAATTATTGATATTTTTTATGGCAGATGCACCGATGAGAAAGAAGCTCGACATGTTTTCAATGTGACAGGAAGCGGTGGAGCCCTTCCGGACGAGGAGGTGCCTGGTTTCAAATCGGCGGTCGACGAACTCGCTCGTGATTTCAAGCAGCTATCTGCGATGCTTTTAACCGTAATGCCATCTTTTTCCTGTGTTACATGCAAGCGCAAGACAGACTTAACTTGTTTTCTTTTTTTTTTTTTTCTTCTAATCCTGAGCCTAACGCAAGATCCAATCTTTATTAATTCAAAATCTGTTACGTTTTTTCTTTTATTATTCTCTGTTGCAAGATTTAAAAAGTTTGGATCTTGCCTTAAGCTATTTAAATTCGTCGAAGGAGCAAAGAATTAACATGCTGAATTGAACAGAAATATATCCATTTGTAACCGTAACTTTTTCTTTGATATAAAAAGAATTGCTTTGAGTTAAACTTCACGTAATATCGCACGAAATGTTTGAAACGACATTCTAAATATGGTTTTTTTTCTTTCGCCATTGACGTCTGTTCATAACGATCCGAAAGCCTGGATCATGGACAGATCGTTTAACAAAAGTGAGTTGTCTTAACTGTGAATAACCCTACAAACCAATCTATCCGGCAGGTGAACTAACACGATTAGTTTCTTCGGTTGCTTTACAGCCTACGCATTAGGCTCTATAAAGTAAAAAATGCAGGGCCAATGTATGTGATCTATGCCTTGTAGGCTCTGGCCGTGGGCCTAGAGCAATCTCCTGATTTCCTGCTGTCGAAGCATTCGCACATGCTGGAACCTGGCAACGAGTCAACTCTTCGTCTTCTTTACTATCCACCTCTTGGTGCACCAGCGCCAGGATTGACTCGTTGTGGCGCACATTGCGACTATGGGACTTTCACTTTATTGGCACAGGTTGGACATATTTATATAAATACTTTCCTTTTTTTTTTTTTATTCAATCTATTATCTTGAATCGCACTTAAATTGAAATTGAACTTTTTTTCGTTTGTAGGATTGCGAAGGTGGTTTAGAAATACAGACTCCATATGGTGAACGATGGGGAAGAGTCGGTCATCTCCCAGGTGCCATTTTGGTGAACACTGGCGACATATTAGCAAACTGGACGAACAACCAATTACCAGCGCTGAGACACCGAGTCGTTGTGCCAGAACATTGTGGTCGGGGCCGTCATTCCATTGCATTTTTCGTCCATCCAGATACCAATGCTCCTGTTGAGCCGTTAGATACAAAAATCGCCAAGGCGAACCAAGAATCAGCGCCGTGCCGTTTGCAGAAGAAGAAACGCGGCGTTTTGACCGCGTATCACCATATTCAACGTCGACTCCGAGAAACTTACGCTTCTTAAGATGTTAATACAGTTTTTACATCTTCTCGTTTCAGAATAAAGATACCTTGGTAAAATTACCGGTTGAAATTTGCGCGGGGAAAGACTTGAAACTTTTAACGTTAATGTAACTTGATCGATTTTTATAAATCTGTGACAATGCAAGTTCTTCTTTTTTTCTTCTTTTTAAAGAAGCGTTGTATGCAAATAAGAAACAGAACAGATCGATTATTGATCGTGATGGCTCAATTATGGCTCGTTCGCATCTGTTTCAAATAAAACAAAGGTTCCGTTGATAAAAGTGTAAGAAATACAGTGTTGCATCACAAAGGCAATAATAAAGAAATTTGTACTTACATTTTGTAAAAATGCATTTTATACAAATAATTTAATTTGCCATTAATAAAACGAAAAACAGGTCAATATTCTGTGATTTATATCTTTATTTTACATTATCTATATATTATTTTGTATCTTTTAAATACAACAATATTAAGTTAAAATCCAGGATCCCAGTCGAGCTTTTGTTTTTCTCTGTTCAATTTAAAGCAAATAATAGTATCTCCAGATTGTAATGATACTTTTGGATCTTCAAATCTAAGGCCACATTCAAGATTAGCTTCTATCGATGACATTTCATTCTTTAAATGCCTCATTGATACCAATTTTCCTGCGATAAAAGTATTCAAATATTGTTGATTTTTAAGAAAACTATGCGAAACATGTACTACAAGTATTAAATTGATATTCAACAAAAGATGAAGTAATGTACGAAGAATTAACAATTTTCAAAATCGTTGTTACTTTCTTACTGTATAAATTAGTAATAAATTAATTTCAAAACTACCATATCAAATATTTACCTGTAAAAATAGTTTCATTTCCTCTTATCACACGATACATTTCAGATTTTAAAAGAACACCTTTGACACAACGACAACCTGCAACGCTCACTTTCTTATTTTTTTCATTTATTTCAAACTTTTGCAATACCTTTGCTTCGCCTGTATTACAATACAAAAAGAAATTATCGTTGCTATATACTCTTTATAATTACATTATGTAATATTACTACCTATTATTTCTTCAGTATCAACTTCAGGTAGTACATTATGAATTTCTTCCTTAATATTATCAATAAGTTTATACACAACGTTATAAAATCGAAGAGATACGCCTCTCGCATCGGCCATTTCTTTTATTGTTTTAATCGCATTTACATTAAACCCGTATATAATTGCTAGAAAAAAATATAAGTAATTTAGAATAATATATAATAGTATATAATGTTCTTTTAAGATTTTATTACCTTCAAATGTATCCGCTAATTCTATATCCGAGTTTGTAACAGGTCCGATACCATAATGAACAATATTCAATCGGCATATAGTATCATATTTATATGTATCAAAAATGTCTAATAATGCTTCAACACTTCCTGCCACGTCACCTTTTATGATAATATTAATTTTAGAAATGGAATCCACGATTTTAGGTTTCCTTTTCTCTTCCTGCAGTTTAAGCTTCAGTTCCTTCAATTTTTCTCTTCCGAAAGTTCTCTTTACTTCCAACAACTTTCGATATTCCTATAATTGTGAAAATGTACAAGTTGTACTTTCACATATATAAACCATTGGGAAATACATTTCACAATAATTGAATATTTTCATATTACAATGAGATGTTCTTGTAATCTTTCGTCGGCAGCTGCTTTATGTTCTTTAGCTAAAATTTCATCACGCTTTTTCTCTCTAAATTTTAGAACATCTTGCAGCACCTTATTATTTTCTACTTCTAGTATTTCATCTCCAACATTAGGTAATTCTTTCCATCCAGTGATTTGTACCGCATCTGATGGTTTAGCTTCCAAAATAGAATGGCCAGAATCATTAAATATACTTCTTACTTTTGCCGATGCTAGCCCGGAGACTATTTGAAAAAACAATATACTGATAAAAACTAATTCAATAAATTTAATTTTATAAAGGCTAATGTTATTATCCTTTACCTAACAAACATCCTTTCTTTAAAGTACCACGTTGAATTAAAGCAGTTACTAAATTTCCGCGATAGATCTGATTACTACATTCAATAGCAACACCTTCTACCAAACCTGTAGGATCTCCTTTTAAATCCATTAATTCGGCTTGTACGACTATAGCTTCTGTTAACTCTTGTAAATTAGTTCCCTTTAAGGCCGATAGTTTTATGCATTGTACTTCGCCACCAAGTTTTTCAACTACAACACCATAATTCGCAAGTTCATTTTGTATCTTCTCCTATAAAAACAAGACAATTATAAATCTAAGAATTTTCAAATTTTCATCTTTAATCCTTAGAACTAAATTCTTAGAACATTACTATATCAATATCAGGTTTATCAATCTTGTTAATAGCCACAATGATTGGAACATTGGCATTTTTTGCCATTTTTATGCTCTGCAAAGTTTGTTCTTTAACACCATCATCAGCTGCTACTACCAACACCACAATATCTGTTACATATGCCCCCCTATACCGCATAGAGGTAAAAGCAGCATGCCCAGGTGTATCCAAAAATGTTACTCTTTCTCCAGAGTCCAGAGTTACTAAAATTTAAACATAATTAAATTATAACTTATTAAAAGTAATAAAATATTTCTCTTATTACTTATTACTTTTTCGTCTTAATTAACCTGCAGTTTAATTACATTTCAGTAAAACTTTAATTTAATACATGAACCATTTAGAACCAACCATTAAAAGCACCAATGCATTGTGTAATTCCACCAAATTCAGATTGTGCAACAGATGTATGTCGTAATGCATCAAGTAAAGTAGTTTTGCCATGATCAACATGCCCCATGATCGTTACAACTGGATGTCGTTTCACTAATTCAGAACTATCTGGTAATGGTCTATATAAAGTTTAATTATGTTACAGTCTTAATAAAATTAACAAGAACTGTTATATTGACAAAAATTTTACCTTCTTATAATATCCTTGTCCTCTATATCCACTTTTTTAATACATTTTGATACAAGTTTAGATTTAGCACCAAGTCTTTGAACTACTTTATGTATTAAATGTCCATCTGTTAAAATACTATTTTTTGTATAAGTACTGTTGCGGCTTTCAAAATAAAGTGCATCTAAAATATCCTCAACATCTCTTTTGGCAGAGTTTGCTAATTCTTGAACTGTCATATTATTCCATGTTTCTACTATTGACAATGACTTTTTTTTGGATTGTTTATATGAAAAATTACTCAACACATTATTGTCAAATATCAATTCATCTTTCTGTAAATAATTTACAATTTTGTTTATGTATATCTTTTGAGTACGAATCTTAAAATGTTTGAAATAGTACTTGTGATTCTTCGACGTGTCTTCGCTTAAAAAGAGGCATAGTGACATGATAATATTGATGCTGAATATGTAACATGCTCAAGATTTGTAAAGCATGATTTATATTTTGTTCTCTCCATACTATCTCGGTTACTTGTCTTGGCAAACTATAAACAAATTATTTTGATAAAAAAGGATAAATGTTTAATGAAATTAAACACATCAATATGCAATAAATAAAATCAAAAATTTAAGAATTTCCAATCTTCACCATTCTAATTCTAATTCTAATTTTATTGCATTGAGAAATTTATATTAGAGGTTAAATTTTACAAAGATTATATTTTTAATGCTATAGATAAATAAACAATAACAATAAATATTGTGTTCAACAATATATATTCATGAACACAAATATATGTTCGCAAACTATACGATAAACGCATTAATAGAAAATACAAAATACCTAGATTGAATACATTGCCTGACCATAGACGCAGCCATATTTATTTTTATTCTTCAAAACAATTAACATTCATATATATGATTAAATATTTAGAATTATGTTAATTTTTAATTTTTTAAAAACAAATATTATATCCCGTGATAAATATTATATCTCTAAATTAAGTGATAATAAAATTTAATCAATTTCATAATTTTCTAAACTATATTAACGAAACATACTGCGTTACTAGCGTTTTATTATAATTTAAATGTACAAAATAATATCTAATTCTTCCAATATAAATCAAGTCCATATATTCATGCAAAAGAATCTTAAAAATTGAACGATCTGAAATTGCTCGTTGTCGATATCGATACGTCTTTTTCTATTTGACGGTGCTAATCTTGAAGTTAATTTCAGATCATCCATTTAATATGATATGTTCGTAGACGTCTTTTCGTCAATTTTTATTTTTTCATCATCATTGTTCGCAAATGGCTGTTGTTACAACAATTAAACGGTAATGAAGAGAAACTCGAAATTACAAATCATAAATGTTTTACAGTTAAATTTCAATTCGTTGCATAGAAAAACGTTTTATTGACATTTCCCGATCTAAACGTACGGAATTATAAATGTCAGACAGCATGGATAAAACTGAAGTGTTAACGTCCAAACAAATGGAAGAGGAAGAGGAAGAAATGAAACGGGAACTTATAGGTATCTAAGTCAAATATAAATTTTCTTGATTCCTTTCTTTTTTTTTTTTTTTTTTAATAAAACATCTTCAGTAGAACTGCTAATTATGCTTTTTTTTTTCTTTTAACCATAGTGATTTTATCATTTTTATTATAGTCGTTTTCAAAAATGATAATATATTGTTTTATAAAATGATTTTCAGATATGAAACTGTATGAGACATGGTATACTTACAAGGATATGAAGCAAATTTTAGGGTTTATTAATGAATCTAAGGATATGGCAAATATGGTTAATGACGAGAAAGATGTACAGAAGGTTGATTCATTCATTAATTTAATAAACGCTTTAGTTTCAGTTGTTCGTAAATTGTAAAAATTATTAAATGTATGTTATCACAATTATTTAATTAATATGTTAATATATTTTCAGGAATCAATGCAATCTTCTGGTGAATGTACCTCAGAGATAATGCTCAAGGCAGATTTAGAACAAGAGCTGGAGATACAAGAACACAATGATGCTTCTCAATCGAACTTGTATAAACCTAATCATACATCGCCAATACATGAGAGAATGTCTGATCATGACTGTGGCAATTCTGATCTTGCCACTGCTATCGCTGACTCGAGAAACTCTATGTACAGAGGGAAAACTTTTGATAGCGAGGATATGTTTATTAAATTACAAGATAATTCGAATATGAGAGATAGTTACTCTCATAGCACAAATAGATATATTTCTTTAAAATCAAAAAACTCTTTACAAGATTCAGATGTTATAAATAGTGCAGAAACGAAAATGGACACATACTCTGAATGTGATCAAAAATTGGATCAATGGCAAATTAATCCACTTGATTCATGTGTTAGTGAAAATGATGTGCCTTTGCAAGAGCCCAATCGACCGGTAATTCAAGATCGTATGCCATTTAGATTATGCAAAGATGCACAAACACCTCAGATGCTTGAGAAGCTACTGCCTATGTTAAATGTTTATTTGAAACAAACAGCAGAATTGTGGCATAGTTGGCACCGTACTACTGATACTAAGTTTCAATGGGGGTCACCCATTCAGGTGGGTACCTCCATCCAATCCATTTCTTACAGATCCTATCATTAATAAATATAAAAAAATATTGGATTATTTGGGAGATTTCTACTATTATTGATCAAAATTAACGTTTTTAACAAGTGAAAGTTTAGTTGTCTCATATCTTTCATGAGATCAAGTCTTCGCTGAGATGTTCAATTCTATTACTGTCAATCTCATTACAATTTACTCTGCTTTTTACAAACTTTTTTAATAACAAGGAATTGTGTGTACTCTAGTGACCTGAAAATCACTCAAAGGAATTTATTTTCCAAAGGAGAAATTTTTTAAAAAATGTTTTGTGATATTTATATTAAATAATATATTGAATATTTCTATTGAATAAATATCTGAAAGAAATTATGTAAATGTACTTTCGACCAATCGAAATCATTTCATCCATTCGAAATTTCGCTACGAATTTTCCGAACAATCCAATATTTCTTTTATCATATACAAGTTAAATTCTTTATAATACAGCATTGTGCCATGGGAAATTGATATTAAAATTAACTGTATGCACAGATTTATGTTTAGGATGTTAATGTTTTCTCCTAAAATATTTATAATTTTAGTACAAATTTTTATCGATTCTTTTCAATAAAAAATGTGTAACTACTCATGATACTAGTGTAATATCTTTTTGACATAAAGAACATTTGATGTTGTTTCTTATGATTAGCAGTGCAACGGTTGTGATAAAATTAACTAATATATTAAAGATAACTTTACTGGCAAAGTTTACATATTTTTTATTTATATATACACTGATAAGATGATTTAAGAACAAATAACATTAGTGCTTTGTATAAAAATAATCGAAGATTATGATTGATGTTTCTTGTAAAGTTTGCATTTATACAAATACATGTATCCATAAGTGTTTATAAAGAAAAAAAGTAATTACAACTGTAAGCTACAAATAATCTTTGAATAAATCGTATTTCTGTAAAAAAAAAGTTTCATTGTTATAATTCTAATCCTTCTTTCAACATTTCTATAGGTGGGTCTTGCTAAAGATAATTTGGATAAAAAATTATTAAAAAATATTAAGACTGAACAGAATCAAATGGAATGTACAAACAAACATAACAATGAACGACCTAATAAACGTAAATCAACTCTGATTCTTTCTTCTTTTTCTGATATAATATATTCTAGCAGCGATGAAGATGAAAGTATTATTAAAAAAAAGAAAATTCAATCTTATGAAGATACAAACAGGGTGTTACGTTCACATAAAGCAGTATGTACTGCTAAATGCAGTGAAAAAAATAGAAATCAAGACAATGATAGCAATCCCTCAGCAGACAATTTGAAAATTGAAAATTTTGAAGCTGAATTTAAAACAAAATCTATAGAAAGTTCTCCATCTGAATCAATTTCCTTGTGTCCAAAAAAAGTACCTCAGAATGTTAGAAGAAATATTATTAAAAGAAGAGAATGCGTCATTAATGTGTCTCCCAATAGTCCATTAGCACATAGTAGCAGTGAAAAACAAAGTGCCATAAATTTAATATCCAAAGATAAAAGTAATATTCTCACTGATGAAGAAATCCTCATAGAATTAGAAAAAGATAATGCTAATGACAATATTAAAACAATGTTTGAGAATACTGAAACTAAACCGCTACTGAAGAAAGGTCTTTCGAGTAGAATAAACGATGCATATATATCTTTGGAAAAACTTCAGTTTGAGAAACGAAAGATAGATGAAATTAAAAAAGAAGAAGCTGAAAAAAAGGAAACTGAAGAAAAAAAAAAGAGAGAGGAATTTTACAAAAAACAACTAGAAGAAAGGCAAAGGAGAGAAAAACGAAGAGAAGAAGAAGAAAAACACAGAGAAGGAAAAAACAGAAGATGGAATACTATAATAGATATGAGATATCAGAAAAAAATTAACAGAGATGAAGACCAATTACAGGGTTTAAGTAGACAAAATAAATATAAAACATCAACAGAAGATAACGTGTTGCTTGAGGTAATCATTTTTTATTTTTTACTTTTTATTAGCATATAGGTAAAATTTTATGTATTTTGTATCTCAATCTTTTTTAGGATGATAGTATTTCTGTAACTAGAGACGTGGAAATAACAGAGAATAATGTAAATTGTCCCATTTGTAATAAATCTTTCCCAAGTGATAAAATAGAAGCACATGCCGCTGGATGCGAACAGTATACATCCGATAACGAATATGAAAATGATTTGTATTTAGTAGAAAATAAATCATCTCCAATAAGCATTAACAATACTGAAATACTTGAATGCGGTGTTTGTTCAAAATATAAAACTACTAATGGAATACATTATGAAGAGCATGTTAATAGTTGCTTACAAAAACAACACGAAGAAGAATCATCAAATGGTAATAATTTTTATTTCTTGTTTATATCAGACGTAAATAAAGTTATACTAAGAATATTGTATATTTTTAGAATATTCAAGCAATGAAATCAGTAATATTCCTAATTCGCCTGTTCGTTGTTTTCGACCAATTAGTGAACAAACTGATTCACATATAGATTATAGAAAGCAATTTCCTTCAAACAGCAAAACGCAAATATGTTCCAGTAGAAAAAGAAAACGTTAACAAGTACTATTTATCTTTAAAATACCAAATGTGTATGTATGCGTGCATATATATACATACACACACACACACACACACACACACACAGATAATGAATTAACATTCTATTATGGGTTTATCATATCTAAGAAGAGATTATTTGAAAAATAATTTCACAAACGAGATTACAACAATATGAAACGTACAATTTAAACATGCAAAATATAATTTCTTTTGCATTTATTGTAACATTCCATGTTTTGTAAACGTTTATGTATATGTGTGTATTATTTTATTACAAACATATTTATTATTTTAGAAAACTGAGTTAAAATATTTTTGTCTATTTTCTCATATTATTATTAATCAACAAAATATATTAAAATCTAAAATGTTATTAGGAAACTAGTATTTATTTCTTCATACATAATTAATAAATTATACCATGCGCACAGTAAATTCGAATAATATAAATTAAAAATTCTCGTTAAAATGTTAATAAAATTGATGAAAAGAAAGGTTTAAAGCATTAAATATGTAATATCAATTTTTGTAGGTCTATCATAAGCATTTATACTGTATAATAAAATGTATTTTTCTACAAGTAATAATTCTCGTTGTGAATAAAATATTATATTTATGTCTTTTCTTTCATTTACACTAAATTAATTATCAATATTGTGTTAAGAATTACAAATTATAACTAAATATTAATTATGTTTATATACTAAAATTATCTTTGCATCAGATACTCTTGATAAAAATGTATAATGAAATTAAATAATTATCAAGATTAAGAGTAGATATATATTCAAACATATATGATAAGAATTCAATTGAATTTAGATGTTCAAATACATAACATTTATAAAAATAATTGTCAAAAATTATTCAATACTGCATAGCATAAAAAGATTATTATATTATTATAGACGAAATACTATGAAGACATTTTTTCAATTTACAGTCATTGTATTTTTAATTAATAATACTTTATCCCTAACCTTAGATGGTTCATGGATAGGTATTAGATATATTATAATAGATCAATAAAATTTTTTGTTTCATATAGTTAATTTTATTAATAGTTAATATATAATATTATATGAATTTCTGATTTAGGTAAAATTACAACCAATAAACATGAACAAGGTAAGAATTTTTGTATTATTTGTTTTATCTACGCCATATATGCTACCATATTATAATTATTATAATTATATTTATTGTTGTTAGAAATCACGTTTTCTGCAACTGTGCCAGGAGGTATTTATACGGATTTGAACAAGGCACATATTATACCAAATAATTTAAATGAGAATAATGATGTAATTAATCGATGGGTTGGTAATCAATCAGTTATTTACACTAAAAGATTTTATGGTAATTATTTTAGACTTTTTAATGTAAGAATTTAATATATGAGATTCTTAATTTAAAACAAACTTTAAATATGTGTTTTATAGTAAATGATACACTATTAAATGCACCTAAAGTAGTATTAATTTTCCATGGTGTGGATACGTTTGCTACAATTCTTTTAAATGGACATGAAGTTGGAGAAACATCAAATATGTTTCTAAGATACATATTTGATGTGACAAAATACTTAGAAGTAAGTATTTTACTTTTTCATACAATTATTTATTATATGTTTTTTATTAATCACTTTTCAGAAAGAAGAGAATTTATTGGAAATTTTTTTTTCTTCACCTGTTAAAATAGCTGAAATCTTATACAATAAACAAGCATTAAAATATGTTATTCCTCCAATATGTAATCCAGATAGTTACAACGGAGAATGTCATGTAAATTATATAAGAAAAATGCAAGCAAGTTTTGCTTGGGATTGGGGTCCAGCTTTTCCATCAATGGGTATCTGGTGAGTTCGGTTTTGTTTATTTGCATTGTTATATATTAATAAGACAAATATTTTAGGAAAAGTGTAGAAATAATTCCTATAAATGAAATCTACATTATGGATGTTACAACAGATATTCATAAGAAGGAAAACTTTTGGAATATTATAATCACAATATTTCTTGAAGTGACTTCACAAAGGAACATAACTTGTCATATCTCATCTGTTCTTAATATTAATGATCAATTAAATATTCATAATTCTAGCAATGTTAATTTACATACAAATGACAAAGATACAAAATGTACTATACTTCTAAAAGTACCTACAGTACGTTTTTAATGACGAAATATCATTATTTATTAACATTTAATCAGTATATACATTTGATATAATATAATTTATTTTTATATAGAATCTTGTAAATGAATGGTGGCCTAATGGTTATGGCAATCAAACTCTTTATTCATTAACTGTAACTGCAGCTACTTCTGCTGATGTTAAGCAAAAAATTATACATGTTGGTTTTAGAACGGTGAAACTCATACAAAAGCCTCTCAAAGTAGGATTAAGTTTTTATTTTCAAGTAAATAACGTTCCAATATTTGCAAAGGGTAGTAATTTCATTCCAGCTAGTATTTTTCCTGAGTTGACTGCTAAGACAGATACAATTAAACACTTACTAAGATCTGTCAAAGAAGCAAACATGAATATGCTTAGAGTATGGGGAGGTGGACTTTATGAATCTGAACTATTTTATAATATAGCTGATGAATATGGAATCATGATTTGGCAAGATTTCATGTTTGCATGTGGAATGTACCCTACTACAGGAGAATTTCTTGAATCAATCAAAAAAGAGGTAATACAAAATGTACAAAGATTAAAAAATCATCCTAGTATTGTTCTTTGGGCTGGAAATAATGAAAATGAAGCAGCATTATATGGAAATTGGTATGGAACTGGAACTAAACAAATATATAAAACTGATTACATCAAGCTTTATGTAGACTTAATTAAGAAGGAAGTAGAACAACTTGACTCTACACGACCTTTTGTAGTATCTAGTCCTAGTAATGGCCTATATACTGAGAAATATAATTATATTGGAAAAGATCCATATTTGAAGACATTTGGAGATGGTAAAATATATTTTTTATTTTATACTATAGAAAAAGCTTGTATTTGAAATCAGATAATATAATGATATTTCAGTCCATTACTACAATTATTTTAATAATGGGTGGGATATGCATCAATATCCACGTGTAAGATTTTCATCTGAATATGGATTTCAATCATTACCGTCAATTTACACTATGTTACCAATTGTAAGCACAATTACTGATTTAGACATACATAGTGATTTTTTTAAACATCGTCAACATCTACCATTAGGAACAGAATATTTGATAAATCTTATATCAAAAAATTTAAAATTGCCTGATACTCAAGATACTCTAAAAAGATTCGAAGATTATATATATTTAAGCCAAATTAATCAGGCTGTTTCAGTAAAGATACAAACGGAGTTTTATCGACAATCAAAGTCGGATTTAAACGAAATAGGAGAAGGAATGACAATGGGTGCTTTATATTGGCAATTAAATGATGTTTGGCAAGCTCCGTCTTGGTCTTCTATAGGTAAATAATAATTACTGAAAATATATATATTTAAATCTATGATGCAATATTTAAATCTTATTTTGATTACTAATAATTTTACTTAGATTTTGATGGACGATGGAAAATGCTTCATTATTATGCTGTGGAATTCTTTGCACCCATTATAGTTACATACTATATTCGTAATATGCATCTTTCAATCCATATTGTTTCGGATAAGACACATTCAGTGAAAAATGCTACTTTAGAAGTGAATCTTTATGCGCTGAATAATATAAAACCTGTGCAATCATATATTTATCCCAATATAACTATTGTAAGAACAAAAATAATGATAGTTTCGATATATAGAAAATAAAAATACTTGCAATCAATATTTTTACTAATAGGAAGCAAATGCAGTAACTACCATTGATGATAACTGGCTCAAACATTCATGGATTTTAACTTCTACAATACTTAATGAATGTCAATCTAATAGTACTACTAAAAGCAATTGTATTACAACGCTTACCTTAAAAGATAAAACTGGGATAACACTGGCACCAAGAAATTATATATATCCAAGCAATGTTTTGAAAAATATTGCATTGCCAATTGCAAATGTTTCTGTAAGTTTATCCTTTTTTATTTATCCCGAATCTGTAAAAGAAATATTATGCATTTTTGTTTAACATGAGGTATTTTATTTTAGATAAAAATGAATGATAATCACTTACCTGGAAAATCTTTTAATTATCCAGATATTGAATTTGAATTAATAACAGACAACATAACTCTTTTTGTATGGCTAGAAGCTGGCAATATTTGTGGTCGTTTTTCAGAAAATGGTTTCCACATGTTTGAAAATAAGAAAAGCATTATTTTCCTTGCATGCGAATTTATTACACCGGAAGTACTAAGAAAATCTTTAAAAGTTACTACACTTTCTGGTATTTATTAAATTCTTCTTTCTAAACAAGATTGTTATAATATTAAATTTCATGTTCTTTGTGGAAAATATGTCTCACGATGTAAATAAATTTCGAATCCAATAAGAATAACGAGTATAATTAGAATTATAGTGATTATTAAATATATCAAATTTGACATTTCGTTTTGTTAACTTATAAATTTATTTCTGAATTTTAACAATTTCCTGACTTTATTGATTATTATTGAAAATATACAATGACTTTTTATAACAAAATATAATACAAATACTGAAGTTAGTATATTACCACAACGCAACAAATCAATATATATAATGTATCATTTAAGAAAATATATAATTAAATATTATTGTATATTTGTTATTTTTCTATTAATAAGTAATATCAAAAGTAATATCATAAGTTAATAATCTCAAACTTGTAATATAATGAAAAAATACTAAATTTAGCTTTTTCTTCTGTGAAATTCTAATATCTAATTTTAAATCTAAATTAATTCTAAATATTAATAAGCATAAGTCCAGAATCAATTCTAAATTTTTAGGTTATCTAAAATTTTTAAGTTACATTGTAAAAACTTGATCAAAAAATAATGAAATATACAAGCAATTATTATATAAATATATATATATATACATAATAAAAACGACATGTTATAATAAACTAATTCTTTTAAAGACTAGATGAAGCTGTTAATAATAATATTGCGTTTATAAATTTTTTATAAAAATAAAATTTATGTTTTTATATTGTATGTAAACTTTAAAGATTTGTAAATATGATTTAAATTTGATCGTTTTGGAAGCTTCATTTAAAGCATTCGTGAACTGTTAAAATTTAGCATTTTCCATAGCTCTAAAAATTGATCTACAAAGATAGCCAAATCTTTTGTAATGAATATTGTCAAAAAATTTAATTTCTGATAGTGAAATCAGGCATAGCTTCTTCTGATGGTGAATGGAGGTAACGACGACTTAGATTAATTGCTACCATTATACAGCATAATAATAAAGGACCAAAAATTGCACCTTCTACACCCAAACAAAAGATTCCGCCTGCTATGGAAAGACCTGTAAGATATGGATGTCCACCCCTAAAATAAAAATACAACGAATGACTATAATTATAACCAATAATTAATTAAATATAATTTCATTGAAATTTTAAAAAGTTGTAGTACCCTTTTATTTCTTTGTAGAATTCAGTTACAACAATGTTGCAAGCAAGAAAGTGAAACATAAAAAACAAAATAGCAATCATAGATCCTCGAGTAAACCAGAGCTCCAAAGTAGCTGGGATGCAAGCAAAATATGCATCCAAAAATGGTACTGCACCAAGTATTGTCGCAAAAGCTGATGGTAAATAAATTATTTTTACTTGGAACAAATTATGTATAAACCATGTCCACATGCCAAAGAAGGAAGCAAGTTTAAATGTTGCAGCAAATACTCCAATCACTGCTTCTTGTAATGCTATAGCAAACCTACAAAATATAAGCTGTTAGACTTTTCTTTCAAAATATATACAATAATATATATTATTATTATGATGATTCAGTTTATACATACCCTTCAACATGAAGAGTGCTTATAAATCAAAAAATTAATTTTACAAAACAACTTACATTACGTTAATACAAAATATATTAATATGAAATTTAAACATTTACCTGTGACAACTAATAGGACTAAATACTGTAGTTAACTCAATAGGTTTGTATGTTTTTTCACTAGAACTAAGAAGGTAAAAGAGCGTCGTAAAAAATACCACCTTAAAATTAAATTTTTAGCATAATATATATCTTAAATATTTTCACAACATATATACGTTTTTGATTAATTTATTACCATGCTGAGAGCAAAGTTAAGTACTGCTGATCCACTCATAAGTATAATATAAAATAGTTCTGTAAAAATTGTTAATATCACAGACATATTTCCTTTCACTATACTCCAAATGGAATCCAATACTGACATAAAAGTTCCAATATTTTCTTTTACAAAATTTTGTATACTAGTCATGTTAAACAGTTCTGTGTAAAAAAAAGAGAAGAAAATAACAAATATATTGAATAAACTATATTTAATTGTATTAATTTTAAGTGTAAAACCTTACGTAAAGGTGGTTTTTCAAAACTTTCATTAAGACTTTCCCACACTGAATAAGCTGCTGTAACATCTACAGTAGGCCCAATTAGATCAGGATTTTCGGTTGACATCATCCATGCTTGATAAAGTCTATCCCAAAGTTCTAAAACTTTCTTTTCCATTTGTTCAGCTTTTGCAGCATCTAAATCTTTTACCAAACTTTTTATCTACGCCATATATTATACATTATTATTGAGATATATTTAGCAATTATAAAAGTATACATGTATCTTACTCCATCAGAAATAGCACTTCGTCCATACGTGTAAGCATTATCTAACACACTATTAACTGAATCTTCCCATTGTTCAGGTAACCAATCAATGTCTGGATTATTCAAAGATGAATTAAGTATCTCCCCAGTCATTTGAATAAGATGCATACCTTCTGCATAAACCTAAGGAAAGCATGATTGTTTATAATCATTTATAAGACATATATATTAATGTTTACTATAACTTCATTATACCTGTATTGTTATAAAAATAGAAGTACAAGTAGTGAATATAAGTAATCCAAAAATCACAGCAACTGTTACTACAGAATCAACTGAAGCTTTCAAAATTTTTGTTAATTTTTCATCAATTATGATTCCAATTTTGTATAAACCTCTAACATTAACTGGTAAGAGAGCTTGATGTCTTTCTGCACACCATGTTTTTATAATTTGCACAATAATATTGCATTGATTACCAATCATATTCCATATTCCAAAATAATTTCCAAATTGCTTAATAATATAAAAAGCTATAGGGATAATTAAAATATATATCATCCACCTATGTTTCCAAAGAAGCATACCAATGCAAGCATATAATGCTCCATACATATATTTGTCAGTATCAACCTTATCATTTTCTATATCTATGGACATTCGTAATTCTGTTTTCAATCTCCTCAACAAATAACGATCACGTAATGATACATTAGATGGTTGTAATCTGTTTTTTACACCTCTATTTGCATCCAGTGACATTGTCTTCCTGGAAAATTTCATAATCTTCATATCTTGATCTTCTCTATTTATCTCAGCATTTATGCTTTCTTCACTAATATTTTCTATGGAGTCTTCACTTTTTGAAGCTGAGGGAAACGAATCTTGTTGCATATTTGTGATTAAGTTATTTGTCAATGCAAAGCACATTGCTTCCATAAACGTCATATGTTTGTTTTCCAATTCTTGGTTTTCCATAATAGCTACTACTTCATAAATAAATCCTATGAAGTACAATATTTGTAGTATTGTGAATATAATAATTTGATAAGCACCTAATATGTTAGAAATATATAAGCTAATCATGAACCATATAATAAATGAACTATAACGAAAGTGAATGGAATTATTTGGTGCCCAGTAAACATACAACACAGATAAATATCCAATAAGTATAAAAGTAATCTGTAAAAATTATATTATTATTATTGATTGTCATCGATGTGCTATGAAATGGATTTCTTATTAAACATGTTTTTTTCTAAATGATTGAAATTTACCACAAAAGTATTGCACGTTGTTATAAAAAATCCAAAAACAGCATTAAAAATTAGGCATATTCTCCATATAAGGCAGCTTAATATCGTAGGCGTGTAATGATATATAGTTAGAGCTGATGCAGTCAATAAAAATACACTGGCAATGTATTTAATGTGCTCCCATAAAAATGACCCTATACTATCCGATATTTTGTCAACTATTTGCGCAGGGAGCACCATTAGATTTATTATTAAGGGGGTATGAGACGCCTCCGTTTTCTCAAACCACGACTGCACAATTGTGGTTAACGAATATTTGAAAGGGAATAAAACGGAGCCGCATAACAGAGCCCAAATCAAAGGTTTTACAAACGGTCTCAATATAATATACAATCCGAAACCTGCTGCGGAAACCAGACACAAAAAGAACAGTGCCACCGCATTGTAAATGCCTTGTTTTAAAGCCTTTTTATGATCCGCGCTGAAGCCTGACAGCATGTTAAAGAGGTTATCCATAGGCGATCGTGTACTATCCATTATGAATACGTGTGTAATCAATTCATTGTTAGAGCGCTTTATCATTTAATTTTGAATTTTCTTGCTGTTTATTGCTTTCTTATGAAAAACTGTAAAACACATAGAAAATCACATTGGAAACAGGAAAATAATAAGGATAAAGTATACTGTCAGAAGTAACAAATACCGTGTACTACTATTAGTAGTCGTGTAATATCCCATATGTACATATGTATATATATGTATCGTGATATATCAATAAAACAGTGTGGTACATTAATAAAATAACTGAAATCACAATAGATAACTTACTAATACTTAATATATCATTCTGCATACACTAAGATTTGTTTTTTCTTCTCTTTAAAAATAAGAAATGATTTGCGAAAACTTGAATTAAACATGAGTTGTTCGTCGTATTGATAAAATTAAGTGATATGATAAAAAAAAATCGTTAAAATAAATTACAAACTCCAAAAATTTATTCTCCGCAGTTTAATCAATTACATCATAAAATATAAAATATTAATATTATAATTTTTATACACGCAAGGCAAAATCTTAAAATGTATAATAATATTGTTCTTCCGATCGTATGAAATTTAAAATGAAAAACGTTTTATTTATTATTAATCAAGAAACTATACACCTTAAATATATAAATGAATATGTAAACGTAAACATACGCTAGATATACGTAAATTTAGGGAAATATTTTCGGAAGGTTAATAATGACAAAAGTGTTGCAAGATGCCTCAAGTATTTTTTCTTTTTTTTACACAGTTTTCACCATCTCCGAATTTGAATTATTCGAAAGCATGAATGTTCTGTCGAATGTACACCTTTCTTGTTTCATCTATAAATACGAAGATTATCGAAACGCGATTCACGAGATAAAGACATTTGTCGCTTTTAATAAGTAAAAGTAAATGTAAATGCTTTTTCTTACGTGGCAATTTTACACGCCCTTAAGACTCTTTATACTGTTTTTCTTTTTTTCTTCGTTCCAGATATTTTGGATGTGTATGATTTTACTGAACTCAATAAATCACTACCAGCACATGTTTAAAAATTAAAGATACAAGATTCAGTGAAAAATTGTATGTGCGTGTATAGTACGCTTGTCACGTTGCAAAACTAGCGAATAGATCTATTATCACTAATCACAGTATTTTGATCACAAATATGTATGTATGTATGTCGAATGTTAGAAATACAATTTTGGGATATTAAGTGATATTAATACGCTTGAATACTCGCTTGAATTTTCGCAAGATTTTACCGAAAACATATTTTTATTGTATCTTGTTTTATATCTCGCTAAAGAATAATATCAATATGCTGAGGACGAACGTTTCTTTAATGGATAATGTTAACGTGCTTGAAAATAGTAATTACGCAAGGAAACTCTGACTTAATCATCACACTTTCATTTTATTCTTTTTTTTATTATTATTATTGTTATTATTATCATTATTACTATTAATAATACTTATCGAATTTATGTTAAGAAGTTAATCAATAATAATCGTGTAATCAATCGTGTACTCCGTAGTCCATTTTAAAATGCATCCCTAGAAAGCTGTGATTTATTCTACCGTGAAATTGTCGTATTTAATCCTTTCATCTGATTCACTTTTAAAAGTATTTTCATAAATACGATAAAGTTGTACGAAATACTTCTCGAGATGTGGGTCGTTAATTAATTAAGTAACATCAAGATTACAAAGAAACAGAACATCGCACAAGAACACCATATAATCTTACTATTAACACTCATTGCACTTTTGCAATCATTCATTTTAATTCACTACTTCACTGTATCATATCTCGCAAGAATCCAAAATACGGGTGATGATTTTTGAACTTCAAAATACGGACAAGTTATACTTTAGTGCCATTGTCTGATGAATAAGCTCAATTATGATGAAAAACATATCTCTGATTACTTGCTCGTATATGTAATGTACTCGTATATCAAGCATATGTAATAAATTATGACTTTATATTTAAATCAAGTACTAGGCTATGTATAAAATCAAATAAAACAATATTTTGAATTAAAACTGAAAGTACTTTAAGAAACATATATATTTTATTAAATAATCAGGGTGTAATACCTAATTCTAGTGAAATTATCGACTAACTTATTTATTTCGATGTATTTAAGAAAAATATATTTCTTGAAATATATATAATTTATTGTTAAAAATACTATTTTACTGAATAACTAGACTTATTCAAAAGATTCTAGTTCGCGTTTGTTTATCCCGATATAGAATTATTAAAGGAATTAAAACTTAAAACTTAATTACATTAACTATCTTTTGAAATATAAATTTTCAAATATTTGACAAATGGCGACAAAGTAACTTGTTTATGTAACGAATTAGTAAAAAAACAATATATATATATATTTTTATATATGTATATATACATATTTCTTTTTTCTTTCTTTTCTTGATAGCGTATGGTTATTATGTAGTAATAATAAATATAATAAAGCAAGTAAATTAAGCACATAACAATTTATACGGATATGTTTCCAGGTTTATTTGTTACATATTAGAAAATTATATTCGAATGATCTTTTGCTCAGTTTTCACGAATGTTTCAAAAATTTGATAATAAAATTGTTCATTTGTGATGTGAGATATTTTCATTTGTCACAATTATACAAACAAAAAAGACCGTATAATATTATAAACATTAAGTCATTTATTTGCAATTGTTATAAATAAATATTTTATCATGATGATACGAGGTATAATTAAAATTTGATTTGAATGGAAATTAAACTTTATTTTTGTAAAATAAAATTGAAGTATCTAATAATATTTTAATTTTATAATTTTTGTAGAAATACTATGCAAAATATAGTTTCATTAATCAAAACGACTAAAAATATATATAAAAATTGTTAGCACAATTCGTTCAAATGAAAAACTAAATATTTCTGATTATTACACATAAAAAAGATTTAATAACACAGTCGTTTACGTAAATTTATTTCGAAAGATATGTTGAAAAAATGTGCAGTATCCTGTAAAAATATTCATAACATAAATTATACAATTAATTATCTGGAAACATATTAAAAATATAATGGAAATATATTACAATGACAAATTAATGAAATCTGTATCTGATCAATAATGTTTGATACAAAAGATACAAAGAACTGATTGGAAAACTTACTATTTTATATATTACGTTAAATCGAAAAATAATTTTGTAATATATCACAAAATTGAGATAAGATAGAAAAATTATCATAATTTTAATAAAGATTTTATAATTGTATCTCTTAAATTATTTCAAGATTTTACTTTCATAATTCCTATTATTAAATACTGGGCGGTTTATATTATTTATTACCAAGAGACAGACAATCTCACAGCACTAACGAACATTTATTATATAAAATGAAAATTGTTCAGTCCCAATTGATAATTTGTTTTCTTCTTATTTTTGAATATTTTAATATAACTTAAATAGACAAAGATACCTTATTTACCTACATTTGGAAAATAAATCGCATTTGATACATATATGTGATATAATATATGCATCTTTTTCTTTATAGAACACAAACATACTAAAATTTTTTTGTCCATTTAGATCTTGAATGTATAACTGAATTTCTGTCTTGTTATCCTAAAGAATCACACAGTTACACATAAACTTAGTCCTGTATTGTATGCTTCTATGATAAAAGCACCATTTAAAACACGTAAAGTTAGTTACTTTTCGTTTGCAGTTGTACAATAGTTTGTAGATCAAGAATCGTCTTTTCCAACATCTCAAACCAAGAAACATTAGTCAATGAACATCGCAACTGGTTCGTACAGTTGTTGGTTGTTACGGTGTCAATTAAACCTGGGGATATCGTACTGATGTTTGTAGGAATATTTTCTGCTTGAATATTATTTCTTGATATGGTTTTATCACCTCCAGAATCAGAGGAAGTCATATCATTTACTTCTACTTTGTCTTTTTCTTCGATGTTTATGTTAGAAACGTTTTTCTGCTTATTAAGTTCTTTGATTGGTAGATGCAATTCTTTGTCAGTGGTTTCACTGTTTTCATTCATCATAAACTTACGCTTTTTTGTAGGAGCTTCTATTTCCTGTTGATTAGATTCTTTCACTTTAATGGCTCTAGTTCGAGACAACAGCGTTTCTAATGCCGGTAACAAGCTACTTGGTGGTTTCAGTCTTGTACTGCTATTATAGACAAGAGCCAAGGCTCTTAAATCACCTGTTAATCTATGTGCAGATGCTTGAATGTCTACTGCTTCCACCATTGCCACCATAGAACTAACTAAATTGTCAATAAGTAAGCAAGTTTGTTCGGTTAGTACATGATTAGCAAGTTTTGGGAAAAAAGTCTTGAGAAAAGCATGAATTGCCGGTATTCCTAAAGACGATCTTTCATCTAGTAGTACAGCATCTACATAATCCACTGTGTAGGAAGAACAAAGAAGAGATGCAATATGTTTCCTGTCTATGTGTGTAGCAGCATGAACATCTAACCATAATCTAGGAAATAAGGCTAAGTGCAATGGTACACCTGTAATTAAATAAAATTGTTATTAATTGTATCGATTTTATGAATTTTCACAATAAATGATAATTACCTTCAAATCCTAACATAGCACTCAGACTAACCAATGTCTCTGTCATGCAGTCATTATTTATTGCCAATCTGCACATTACATCGATAAGTTCATGATATGGTAAATAAAATTCAAGTAAAGCGTTGTCATATTCTGGATCTACTCCTTTCGATGCCTCCAGCTGAGAATGTGGTACAGCCATCTGCACCATTGGTCTAGCAGGTCGAGTAGGCATTTTCCCTGGAGGAGTAGACCTTCTTGGAAGATATGGGCCAGGTGGAACAGCAGCATGAGATTCTTGAAGAGCTGCATGGCAGTGTGATAGCAATGGTGCTAAAATTGAGATCGCTTCAGCAGGAACAAGCATCACAAGTTCTTTTAAAAGATCTATAGCAAGATTCCTCATATCTGGAGGATTATATGTATTTAACAATGTTGCTAATTTTCGCAGAATATCTGGCCATTCTTTACAATTCGCTAATATATTTCTTGCATCAGGCCCGTCTCTAGCGGTTCTAATACATCGCACAAGTTCGACAATAATAGCTATTAGTTCAGCTAAGTCACCAGCAACGTGACATGCTGTTGCTTCGTGATACATAATATGCAACATATGAAATGCTTCCAAAGCCATACTCACTCCTCCGTTATATACAACGTAAAGCCGATCATCGTCTGATTCGATCAAGATGCTGCAAAATATTGGTTTTATCAATTTGTTTTTCAAACTCAAGATAAAAAGAAATGTTATTTCAAATATTTTACCGAAATGCAGAAATAAGTGTAGCCCAACATGATCGTCCGTCTAATCCTTGTAAGTAAGAAGATAAGGTTCCTCTCCTAAAAGATGCAATTTCTGCTTCTTCTTGTTCAGTTTGTTCAGGATGTCTTGCAACTAACAGTTGCATTAATTTAAACAGTTCGTCCACAGCCTATAAAGAAAGATATTTTATGTTTTAGATATAAGTTCTATAAGTAAAAGTAGATTTCAAATCAATAAAAATCTTACAGTTGAATATTGAGTAGGATGAGGTGTTATGTTTTTGAATGCCCATTGAATATTTTGATGTGCAGCTAGTTGTCTTGTAAAAGTGCGTGATTGTTGACAGCATAATCGTAATAAACCATAGTAAGCAGGCAACATTACTCTATTAAATAATACCACATCCTGATCCTCATGATCAGCACTAAAAGATATATAAAACTTCAAATTTTGTAATCACATGTACTTGTATAAAAAAAAAAAGAATTATACGTACAGTATATAATTAAATGCAATATTTTTAGTTATATGAGGATTGTGAAGTATAAGAGCAACATTTTCCGGACAATCAGAACAAACATGATACCAAAATAGTAGTACAGCTTGTTTATTATGATGTACTGGAATGCTAGGCTCAGATAGTTTTGGATGGAAAAGTGTCCATAAATCATTCAAATATTGTCCAAACTGAAAATAAATATAATAAAATATAATATAAATTGAAAATAAATATATAATAAAATAATTATAGCAAAAGATCTAATATTATGCAATGCTTACCATTAATTTTTCTGTCTTAGAAATGACACAATAAGTAAGTAATGCAAAATAGGCAGTGAGTTTCATTGTACCATGAGTCTGTATATCAATATAATGTCTCGCAGGTTGTAATAATCGTAGAAGTGCCGTATATATTTTGTGTAAAACTAAAGTAGCTTCTGGAGATAATTGTAGTTCCCTAGATGTATTGCATCCTAAACCTAATCTATGAGCACTGCGATAACCTTGTCTGAAATGAGTCGATGGTACTAATGATACGAGAAGAAAAGCAGCAGCAGAGCGAACTCTTTGATTTGAATGTTCTAATAAGAAATGTTGTAACCACGTGTCTAATCCTTGTAATACCCAAGCATGTGCAAGTTTACTTCTTGTAACGGCTAAAGCTAACCATTCTAATGCTCCATGTGGAGCAACTCTTGCAGCTTCCCAGACTCTGCCTAAAATTAACTGCGTCATACAAGGCAATCCACTTAATCCTGAACTCTCGGTTAACAGTGTTAAAAGTTTGAAAAATGGTTGGCAGACATCTGTATGTTTTGTTATCGCTTGAAATATCATTGTCACAATATGTATTGCTAGTCGGTCATTCCAACGACATAAAGACTGAATCAAGTTTCGCGTCTGGTTAAGATTGATGACATCTCGCGTTTGCTGATACAAAAAAGGAAATCCTTTACCTCCTGCTACAGCACTAAGATCTGCTGGAGACAATGCTAGCCTAAAATATGAAAATACAATATGTAAACATATAATAAAATTTTCATATTAAATAAAAATAATAAACTATTCAACTACCTGTGATCAGGTCCTCTACTACGTTCAACCAAAGTTGCTATTAAAGTGATCATTTTATCCAAAGAAGCAGGTCTTAATTTTTCTGTTGGCATAGCAACAACTTCTTCTTCCTCTTCTTCTTCACTGACTGCATCAACGAATTCATGTGTCTTATGTCCAAGATAAAAATTGATCATAGTTGATATAGCTTGTACTCTTATTAGAAATAGCGTTTCTTCTTCACCCATTTTACTAAATTCATATAAAAAACTGAAATATTCAGTAAGATGTTTCAAATGTTGTTTCGCATGTTCCATAAGAGACAAAAGCATTCTCACAAATCTTGTCACGCATGATCGCGTACCGACAGTATTTATGTCATTTTCTTCATCACAAAGAAGGTATAAAGGTGCTTGAGTAGCGCGCAAACGTTGTATCACATGAATACATAGCCTTTGGAACA